TTTGTTCTCAGCCTGATACACATCTCATTTGATTCCTTGACGTTAATACTTTTTAATATATCTAATCGTTTTGGCTTCAATATCTGTAGTAAGCAATGAATTTTATCATAGAAGGTGTGTCTTGGCCTTTCCTGGCCTTTATACCCTTTCGGTTTCGCGTTGCATATCGGTTTGGTTATTATCTTATTCGGACGTGGAGGACACGGAGCATGCTCTGTTAACATTAACTTACTGTTTTAATAATCATAATCTTATAAGTTTCTTCTTTCTTATTAGCAGTTACAATTACATAATTATAATGATAAAAAATAAATAATAATCTAAAGTCTGTGATCGTTTGATTGGACTTATCACTGGACGACGCAACAGTGAAATTAAATAAAGATCGGGTAGGTTATGTCTGCTACTGATTATTCATTAGCAGACATCATATCAAAAGAAGGATGCTTTATTCGTTGCAATAAAATATTATGTAACATTATGTATATATAAATAGAATAGGATAAAAGCAAAGGAGATTCACAGACTAAACAAAAAATAACAAGAATCTCAAAGTTTCGACCATTAAAATTGCAACTGTTACACTTAATAGAATAAAAAAGAAAATCTCGATTTTTAAGACTAATTTTATCGATAACGACCCACGCAACATATTATTTGACTGAGGATTGTAATTATAATTTTTAATTTCTTTGTAATTTATTAATGAATAGGTGAATTCTCGACTGGATTTTTAAACGTCTGCTTTAAAAACAAGATATCTTAATCGAGACTGGTATATTGAGATTCTAAAGGCATGTATTAATATCGCGTGTTTGCTTTGCGTGGCTATTGATGTTAAGCACAGCACTGTCACAGCATAGAAGTATAATCAAATAACTTTTGAAGACTGTTTTATTTGATGAAACATCTGTGCAGTGATAGCGTTCTTAGACCAACAGCCTTGCAATGTGGTTACACGAAAGAGCTGACCCATCATACAGGTAAACTAGACAACTGCTTAAGGCTAGTTTACTCTAATTATACGAGGGTCAAACTGAAAGTTCTTAGAAAATCAAAAACTGATTACATTAGCCAGTTATTAGTTTTATTATATCTTTTCAAAATATTGTCCATTCACGTCAATACACCGCTGCATGCGATGGAACCACTGGGAAAAGCACTTTGCCCACTCGTCCTTAGGGGTCTCTTCAATGGCATCGCGATACGCAGCCACCGCTTCTTCAGCATTCATAAACCGCTTTCCTTTAAGTTTTTCTTTAATTTTTGGAAATAAATAAAAATCACAAGGCGCGAGGTCGGGGCTATACGGCGGGTGACCCAGTAATTCAACGTTTGATGTCGCCAAATAGTCGATCGTTCGCTTGGCGGTGTGCGACGAGGCGTTGTCGTGGTGAAGGAGGATCCTACTGCGAGGTCGTTTCTCTCGAACTTTTTCCAAGACAAGTGGCAAACAATTGGTAGTGTACCATTCTGCAGAAACTGTTTTTTGATCCTCTAACACAATTGTTGCAAAATGACCTATCCTTCCAAAGAACGAGACCACCATTTTTTTTCCCGCACTTCGATCTCTCTTCACTTTAGTTGGCAACTCCTCGAAAGGAAACACCCACTGAGCAGATTGTCTTTTGGTTTTAGGATCATAACAGTAAATCCAGCTTTCGTCACCTGTTAGTATGTCGAACACAGCATTTGAGTCACCTCCGTTAAATCTTTCAATCATTTTACGACACCAATCCACACGATGGAATTTTTGAGCCTCAGTCAAATTATGAGGTATCCACCGGGCGCAAAGCTTCCTGACCGTTAAAGTTCGTGGAGGATTTTGTGCACTTAACTCATACCGATGCCTAAGCTTGTCCGAATCTGTTGATAGGTCACTCTTTTGTCAGTCTCTATCATACGCCGCACAACACAGATGTTATCTTCAGTCGTCGCCGTAGAAGGCCGTCCCTCACGTAAATCATCAGTGAGATTAGTGCGACCACGTTTAAACTCATTAAACCAGTTGTAAACAGTCGCACGAGATGGGGCTTCATCGTGAAAGGCCGATCGTAGTCTATCATAACTTTCTTGTTGACTTAAATGACATCGAAAGTCATAAAAAATCATTGCACGAAAATTTTCTCGTGTTAAATTCATGATGACGTGACACAGACAATTTTCAATTTGCCGCCAAATCGTAAAACAAATGACAAATGAATGAAATATATACTCAGTAATATTGGCAAAGAGTTATATTTTCAAATTTTAGAATTATTTTTTTATTATATTGTTTATAAGTGGCCAGTTCTAAGAACTTTCAGTTTGACCCTCGTATGAACCTTAATAATGCAGTACTATAAAAAAAAAATCGTCTTTTGTTCTTTGAAAATGACTCTTTGACCGCGGTATTCAATAATAAAAAAAAAAGGTTTTTTATTGGCGTCATTCCAGTGCGCCAAGTTTCATCGAGTGTGCGCTGTAGATATGTATATGTTTAAAAAACAACGAATTATAAAAGCTATACCTAGATGTTTCTGTTATAGCTTCGGTCTGATATAATTTAATATCCTAGGGAAAGACCAAATATATAAAAATAAATGTCTAAGATTGAAATATTGAACTTTTTCAACTTTTTTCTGCCGCACACCTGTTTTCTAACAAACAAACGCCAAAGTTTTTATTGTAAACAGCCGATGACAGACTTATAAACAAATCGATAGAATTTTGTATCTCGAACGTTTCACATGTTGATGTGGGTGTATGTTAAATAGTTATTGATTGGTAGCCTCGGTGGATTAACGAACTTTTTTTTATTTTTAGACATTCACTTTTCGGCCTGGCGTGAGTACATTATGGCTCTTTAAGTCCTATCATAAGCTTCAGTCTACTTGGGAGCATTGCAAATCTCGGGCTAATACTCCGAAAATTTTAAAAACTGCTTTAAAGTGTTGTGTAATTGATGATTAATAATTCTATTAGAGGTCTATAAATGTATGATATATTTTATTGTTGTTAATTTTTAAATGATTTAACACGCACCCGAAGCACGGAGGAATTCGAGATAGTATATTGGTCACCCATCCTATGACTGATCCTTACGTAAGTGACTCAACATCTATATTTTCAGACCAAATGCGTTAACTTCTGTGCCATCGAACTCCTCACATTGTTTCACATTGCTATATTGATCTTATATAAATGTTCAAGAATTCATCAGTCACAGGTACAGCTGCCTGATCCATAACCTATCGCAATTCAAGCCGCTGCTCTAACTAAAACTCCGATTTTTTAAATATATTTTTTAATAAAGCAGCCACTTTTCTATATACTCTCATTACTTTAAAATATTTCTAATTAATTGTCAATTTTAACTTATTCGTAATTAACTTCGAAATCAACGTTGGATTTTTTTTGAGATAACCTACCAAAGGAATATAAATACTGCAGTAGTGTAGATTGATCTGGCGCAATGAAATCCCAGAATGATCTATCAGGCTGACTGGTGAAGTGTCAGCAGACCAATCATGATTGGTTTAGGATTGGACTGATCAATCCCCATCATTTGAATATATCAATTATGTCTTTAGTTACTCGGCAGAACCGCAGGAGTTGTTGTATGATAATCTGTGGAAAATACTTATAATAAGGGTATGTTCCGATATACACTGCGAGCACTGCGCAGTGGTCTTACTGCTGAAAAATCCGTTCCGTTATGGACTGCCAGTACACTGCTACAGTACCCTAGGGAAATTTATGACGTTATAAATTGCCGCCATATTTGTACTGTGAGCACTGGAGATTTCGAGGTAAGGTGCTCGCAGTGCTTTTGATCACGTGATCAGTCCAAACAGAATCAGAAAATGATAAGTTTCTAAATAAACAAAAAAAAAATACTTACGTTTATTATAAGATGGATTTAATTGATAAATAATTTTTTTATACACAATTTTATAATATTTTCTTTTGAAAAGAGGGAATCTGTATTTATTTTCACCTTGCATTAACAAATTTGAAAATGGCGCCTAAAAATAGGATTAACAGTATACTGGACTGCGTTCCGTTTTAAAAAGTCACCAGTATAACTAGCTATAAAGGAACGGGCTTCCAGTATACTAAATTGACGTCATACTGTTCAGTGGTCGCAGTGTATATCGGAACATACCCTAAATATATTCATATGTACAGTATTAAAATTAAAATCTAATTTAATAAAAACTTTTTTTATGAAAATAAATAGTAATATATATTTTTTTCTTTTCAGGTAACAAGTTCGAAGTCGCCGGAACAGTTTGTCATCAAACCATAGATTAAATTAATTATTTTTCATTAAGAATTTGAAGTAGTATTATGAATGCAAAATTGAATAAATAAAATAAATTATTTTACTTTATAACTAAATGTTTCAGATAAGACTACGGATAAAATTATTGGATGCACGTTTTTTATAGCGGCAAATATATGACAATTTATTTTTGTTTTCCTTTTTAACACGCACAAAAAGTCTGTGTGATTGTGTAAGGCGTAGAGTAAGGAGTCTATGGTTTATAGTCCTTTGGGTGGCGGCTCTTTGGCTCTATAACCACAGACAACTATGGTTGGAGATCGAATGTTCCATATCTTTGTGCGGTGCTAATAGGAATTCAGAAATATTTGTTTGTAGAGATAAAACAAATTTCTAATTCACGTGTACCGGGAAACGCTGAGCTACTTTTTGCGTATAGTGTTGAAAGCAATTTTATGCAAAGCAATTTTTATCTTCTGTTTATAAACATAGCTTCGATCTTTCAATGGAATTTTCAAGGAATTCCAATTATTTCTGATCACGCTTGCATTTATTTATCTATGTAAAGAATTAAAAAGTGTAATTATAACTAGATACTTTTAACAAAGAGGTTTAAACAATATTTTTATTCACAGATACAGGCCGTCACAGCCACTTTAAGGGTCTCAGCATCATAAACTTCAGGTTTAGTAATAAGGTTTTGCAAAACGAAGTCGATGAAGCTGTCTTGAATATGCACCTTCAAGAATTGGAGTCGCGTCATAACACGACCATAGACCCGGATGAGCATTTATCTATAACATTTCAAGTTAGTAGAGTAACGAGGAATAGCCAAGGGAGCAGGGCTTTAGTGCCTTATAGTGATAACTCTGTGAAGATGACTAGAAAAGAGTTGAGAGTTGGTAAATGGTTTAGAGTGAATGTAACAAATATGGTGGCGGAGTTCTTTAGATTGCCACGGGAGTATTTAGCGATAGTTGTGAGAGTACAAGACTCCAAGAATAGAATGAGCTTAGTGGTGCCGCATCCTAGTTCAGAGTCAAATAATGCCCTGGTGAGTTGATTTAATTTTTTATGTTACACTATAGTTTTTAAGGATGTCTCATAATTGCATTACGATTGTGCCTTTTTAAAGCATAAATTAAATTAATCAGAAATATGGTTTTCACATTCATCTTTCTTTAATGCACTTGCCCGCTTCTTTTAGTCAAGGGTAGCCTGGTAGAGACCTTAGCAATAAGGCCGCCTTTTGCATCGATGTTTCGAATAATAATTGTTTTTATGGGCAATCAAGTATATTTATTCATTCATTCATTAATTCATACAATGTATTCTCTTCGCTTGAAACCTGTAATATGTCATGAACAAAGTGATTCTTCGGGTATTATAAATAATATTCGCGCAGTATGAAAAATTCCCAATATGAGAGGGCAATGTGATAAATACTATAGAAATAATGAAATCGGCACCTGCATTTATTTTAATAGCGTAATCAGCTCAGCGTTCGAATAAGCAGCTGTCTATTTTATAGACAGAGATATTAAATAGGTATAATTAATATAGTAATTATTTGAGAAGTGGAAATGATCTTATACCTGTAAGTTTCGTGATTAGTTAGAAATTTAAGTCTCATTATTAATAATGCCCGGGTATCATGAAGATTTATTAATCACAATTTTATTATTTATCACTAGGTTCATATCATAACCTATAATTATTATAAATTTCGATCAAATCACTTAAAAATAATTAAGTAGAGGGAAGCTTAAAGCCAAAACACAGTCTCTGTTTACCTCATTGTGCTTGGCAATGAGTTAGACAGGGACAGAAGATGATTTATTTTTATCAATCGCAAACGATTACAATATTTGTAAAAGTGCTGGATAATTCCCATGGACATGTAGCATTAATGGCAAGAGTTACTAATTTTCGGTGCCTTTTTAAAGATGTACCTTTTAAAAGAAGTACGTGTAACTTTATCGTAACTTTTTTAAATACGACAAAAAATATTTATACATCGAAACTAAAACAAACACAAATTGAAATTTATTCAATTTTAATATTACCGTTATCAATTAGCATTAGTAAAAAACTAATGAAAACTAAACTGATGCACTTCATATTATGCTGCTGAGTTAGCTAGTTTTCCTGTTATCGACTAATAACTTAAATATAAACTTGCACATTAATATTGGTAGTAGGATGGCAGTTATTTATTTCCAATGTAAGCTCTTAAAAGTGTTACACATTCGTTTCCTTGACGTGTTTTATAAATTGGTGAAAAAATATTCCCGAAATAACGAGTAGTGACAGTGTTAAAACTATCTTTCTTTTCATTGGTAGGGTTGTCACACAGTATATATTTTGTTTAGTGCTATACATTTTTAAGTAAAATATCATAATGAATATATTTTATTTTTGCAAAATTGATCAAATATAATATTTTTTATAATAATTACAAAAATAAAAATACGATTCTTCAACCAAGACTTAAATTTAATGTAATATTTATTAATCTTTTAAGTAGGTACAAAATGTCCAATGTTTGAACACGACCTTAGACCCTAACCTACAAGCGTAATAAATGCGTTTCGTTATAGATTACTCGTTGGCAGAGATTCACTTTACAAATGAATAAATAGTTTGCAGTAATTATTCGCGGCAAATTCGCCCCTTCTGCTCACATAGTCAATAGACTCTAGTAACGCTTGAGAAGCTCGAGAGTGAAGTATCTCGAGTTCGTAGAGCTACGCGGGCTGGACAAGGTTTAGTGATGTGAAAATTTATCATAATACGTGGGCGTTCAATGCGTGTACAGCACGCGTGTGACACGAACAGGCACGCGACAAGTGATCACGTAATAAACAGCTATCATTTAAGTGAAACGTTAAGGCTAATAAGGTCTAACTATTCTGAAATCTAGTTGACTTTACAGTCGTTTTAAAATAAAACGGCTTTTACTTTTGGCCACTATTTTTAAAAGTTAAAAAACTTATTTGGAACATGTGTTTTCTGGCAAGTTTCTGCAATTATTCATAACTTATAATGTTAAAAAAATAAGATATAATAGACTTGAAAGGCTTCGAAATTACTTAACCTAAATATTTTTGATCTACAGGAAGAATAGAATAGAATAGAATAATTCTTTATTGTACAAAAACACCAATTATAGGTAATAATAATATAAAACAAATAGTACAATCGGCGGCCTTATCGCTAAGAAGCAATTTCTTCCAGGCAACCGTTACCGTTTGGAAAATTTTAATTTAAATCTAAATTAGGTAGTCTATGGTAATGGAATGGATGGATAAAAGTAATTTACGCAGTCACGGGAAAACAGATAGTCTTCTTATATATTCAGTAAATGTGTGCACACTGTTCGATACCAGGGTAATACTTACACGTGATCATAATAATCAGTGAAACAATTTTATATGAAAAAAAAAAAATAATATTTGCGGTGAAATTGATTGCTAAACAAAATGTATGATTTAAAATTGTACATTAGTGTTAGAAGCATTCTTAATTGTAGTAGAATATACCTTAGTAGGTTTTATTTATAGAATCTATAAACTAACTAGCTGACCCGACAGACTTCGTCCTGTCAAAAAGATTTGTAATGTGGCAGTTTTTTTGCCTACGTATTTAAAAAAATTCTCCTGAACAGAAGCGTGAGTTTCGGAACGCGACATTAAACTCCTCCAACGCACACACGCACATTGTTTTGATAGATATGATCTTTGACGTTAGGAACACACCTACATTGCTTAGACAACAGTGAGTGCTTGTAATTTAATATGAACTTTATACCATAGCAATAAAGCTCAAATTGACTACGTTTTAGTTACAAATCATTTGTATGGGAAAAAGAAAAGGGCTATTTTTAGGGTTTTTCCAGCAATAATTCTAATTTTTCTCGCCGTAAAAACCATCCTTGAACTTCAACGAACATTTTAAAAAAAGATTTGGCCAAATTGGTCGAGGCGTTGTTGAGTTATGCGCTTACCAACACATTTTGCGATTCATTTTTATATATATAGATAACAACAGAAATAACCGTTTTATTCATAGCTCCTTTTTTTTATAAACCAAAGAGTTTTTAATCACTACATTTTCTGCGACATAGTCAGCCAAATCCGCTTCGATTCGGTTTTGATCTGAGGGCACACATGGTCATTAAATTAACCAAATTTCAGTAAATTTAAGTAATTTTTAGATTTAAATTAAAATATCTGTAACCAATTTACCGTTATCAGATCTTTTAGATATACAACGTCTGCATATCCCCGACATAACTAATTTACTAGAAAAACATCATGGTAATGGTGAAGATTTCCTTGTAAAATTATATACCCGGTCTCTGAATTGAGAAAATAAAGTTAAGCATGTCTTAAACCGTACTTAAACCATCTTAAGGGTCACTTAAAGAGGTTTTCATGACCGATATTAATTTTCTTAATGATTAATTGATAGCAGTGCAAATTAGCAATATGCTTAACCTGGAACCCATACGGTCGGTTGAACGAACGTCCATTAATATTTAATGATGCCTTTAGTCTTAATGAATGTCATATATGTATGGGTAATGTCACTTTAAACAAACGAAAATTTAAAGGACGTTTGTCATTAAGTTAATGCTTCATTAGAATTTAAAGCTTATTTAAGTAATCAGGGGATTTAATGACCGTCTCTGCAACCGACTGTTTGTCTTAGAATTTAAGGGGCTCGCATATCTAAAAAACTGAAGGAAATGGATAAAACAAATTTCACCTTCAATCTTTACACCTAGCAAACTAATGACAGGTGACATTAATATTCTGATGATTTGGCGCGTATTTTTCTTTGTACTTCTCGCGCGTTTTCATTTAAAGAATTCACTTTCGCCTCCTTCGGCGATTAGTGTATCTTTAAAATAGATTCACGCGAATAAATTCCGTATTACCTAGGTACTAAGGTACTCAACAAATGCGTACCTAAAAAGTAGCTACTGCGCGCTATTTTAAAAAATGCTACGTAGATACTTGAAGTATTTATCTTTGATGTCTAAATTCTATGAGAATGAGTAATTATGAAGAAATTTATTTTACCTAAACATCTACGGGAAGCTACATCATAAAAGGAGTGACATAGATTATAATTCACGCGGGAAAACTTGCGGGAAAACGTCATGTCACAACAAAACCTCTTTGGTGGGACTTTATACATACGATATCTGTGGTGAAACGCAGATTATCTGTAAGAGCCTCTTGAAAACTGAAAAAATATGACCGTAACAATTAAACTGAGTTTATTAAACTTTTGAAATTATCATCAGCAACGACGAGAACTTTGTTGCCAACGCGATAATATCAGGAAATTCAACGATACTTTATAAAATTTTATTGATAACATTGAAATGTGTTATATATCTTAAGCATTAAGAAGCTCTTATTTGTTTTAAATATTTGATATTTAATGACTTCAAACCAGAAATAAACGCTGTCCCCATGGATGGATTGAAATCCTTAATATTGGTGGGTGTGGGCTCCAGATGAAACCGGCACCGACTGCTCAAGATGCCTTCCGATGAGTGGCTCGTGTCATTTTTTTTGTCACAGATCTTATCAATCGGTATATTTTTTAGCACAGTAATTTTCTTTTGTGTTTTCTTTTGGACACAGTTCGGTTCATTTATTATGGCATAACGGTTATGTCAATGTTATATTAAAAATAAAATTATGGCAAATGAAGGGATACCGCGATAGTCGTAGTATAAGTATGTACAACCATATCTAAATAGTTCGATAGTTAATTAGTTAGGTAGAATTTCTTAGGTAATTGATTCGGTACTGTGCCTTATCATTATTAAAATGCGGACATTATACAAACATGTATTCATAAAGACAGTTGCATCTTAAAATGACCTGCACTTCTTATCAATATAGCTTAAAAATAAAATATTAACCTACCTATAAGTTAACCTGTTTGTACAGATACAGACGTTTGTCATTCCCTCGGTAATTATGTAGGTAGTTATCGGTTTGACTTCGTTGCACTTGTGAACGCCTGTAGCACACAAAGCGAACCGGAGCCGAAACGAAGTGAAACACTAATTAATTTTCTAAGTTACCAAATAGTTAAGAAAGAATGGAAAACCATATCGTGAAAAAATTTGTTCGTTCAATCAATATTTATCTCATTGACTTATTGAAATTTTTTTAAGTGAGTTTAATAATATGTCGTAGAATATCAGCTTAGAAAGTCTTCAACAAATTTACATGTAGTCAACAAAATCAAAACAATTACTTCTTTTAATTGATTATTTAGTTTAATAATCTAATTTTAGTAATTAATTTGATAAGATATAAGACCGCCGCATAAGTGATGAGCGACAAGCGGATGAGATTCGTCAAAAGTTGCAAAAAATATATCTTATTATGCTTATAGTATTAAAAAATATGTTTGACAAATTTTTAAGCTCGGGTAGATTACAGAGCTTTCAAAATCCAGGTGACTGCCAGTCGCTTTTTGGACATCTGAGACTGTCCAATTTTTTAAGTATTTTTGAATAATTTTTTGAGTTTTTTTGTTTAATTAATCTATGTTGGGTTATATATAATTTATTTTCCTGTGACCTTGGTTAAATGATGGAGAAGTAAATATTCAACAATATAAGTAATATTTTACTGGTGAAAGAATTTTATAATTATTCCAGTAGTAAAATCCATGAATAACTAAAGACGTTAAACTATAAATATTCTAATCTCTTAGTTAATTATTTAAAAAAAATTGTTTTCTTTTCCCTTAAAATGGTTTATACACGCTATCGCTCATCACTAAGATGCTTTCGTCTCAGCAAGGTAGGCGTATTTACATCAACAAGACGTAAATTGAATTGTGCGATTAACAAATGAGTATGTTGAACTTAAAAAATCAGCTAGGGTGTTGCTTTTATATTTTTAATGTTACCTCTAAAAGTAAGACTATGTTTCAACGTTTAAACCTTGATGTTAAGCTTTTGTAAAAGCCGCAGTCGCAGTATGGGAAAATTTGTTACCTCGAGTTCCTCCGTGGACGTTATTCATTGAAAGTAAGCCATTTATTAATACCTTTTTTTAATTTGAATGTCATTCTTTGTTACAGATACCCTACGTAGAAGTAAGTCTAAAGGACAATTCACATACGCGTACTAGACGCACAATCGGTATGGATTGCACCGAAAACACGAAGGAGGTGCGTTGCTGTCGGTACCCACTGGTGGTCAACTTCGAGGAGTTCGACTGGGATTGGATTATAGCGCCGAAACTGTACGAAGCCAACTACTGCAGCGGCGAATGTCCATACAGTTTCCTGCAGAAGTTCCCTCATACATATTTAGCCCACCTAGCAGCTCCACAAGGCAGTGGAGGCCCATGCTGTGCCCCAAGAAGAATGAGCAGCATCTCCATGTTGTATTTCAATAATGATCTGAACATCATTTACGGGACAATACCTGGCATGGTGGTGGAAAGTTGTGGCTGCTCATAGCGTGCAGTCCTTTACGCTGGCTCCATTAAAATGAAGCTTTTGAAATCTTTCCGTTATGATCTCTTTGGGCGAGTGTTACCTGCTGTAAAATTCGAGCATTTTTGTTGTTGCAACAAAAAGTAATTTTGTGTTCTTTATTTGAAAATCTGCATGGAGCCTTTAGTGTGTTTATTATTCTATCGCTATGTGATATTTTGAAGGTTGAAGACTGTGGACTATAAGTGTTGTGTGCGATGTGTGACCATGTAAAATATTATTTGACATTTTGTACCTTAACGAATATAGAATAAATGTCACTTTCTCTCGTGTTTATTATAAGAAACTGATATAGAAAATTCAATGGCCAGAAATTTTTTTCAGCTAATAAAAAGCGGAAAATTATTTCGTATCTTATGTTCGGCTAGTATTATTGATCTGTTAGCTTAATCTTAGTATCATAACTATAATGTATAGTAGTAGACATTCTGATTTAAAGTATGTACCTTCATGCATTTAATTATTTTTCATCATAAGTTATTATTAACAAAATCATTAAGAATATTTGCACGACAAATTATAAACAATAGCTGTTTTATTGTCATCCACCATTTTCTTTTATAGTAGCGTAGATGTACCAGTTTATACATTAGTGTGAACGGCAGAAATAATTATACTGCAAAAATTTAAACTAATAATTAAAAATAATTGTTGTCATTGCCAAAATTAATCTCACAACTTTTAAACGTTACCGATACTGTTGGTGTTAAATATTAATAACAGGACAACTAAGGAAGTTTGGAAAAAAAAAAAAAAAGAAATCAAAATAGACGTCACGACGTAAGTCTAGTGAAAAGCATATTATATTAAATGAAATGCGTTTAAATTTTCTTCCTGATGCTTCATATAATTTACATCGAATTTTTAAGTTATTGTCATGTTTGAACCTTTTGTCGTTTTTTAATGTCTAATCTTGGAAACTATATTTTTATCTTTTTTGCTACAAATACCAGTTTGTAGTGAAATTAAATAAAATTAATCTACAATCAAAACAAAAAAAAAATCTTGATTCATTAGGGTGTTATCGTTTTTACAAAGAAATGTTGCGTACGTTGTTTTTTTTTTAAATACTTCCGTAACAGTGTTTCTTTTTTAAATAGTATTACAATGCGCGTTATTTAACATTCAATTGACGATAAAGATACATTTAATAAGTATACCGGCAAAAGATAGTCCATTTAACGTTACCAAGTATATAATTATCTTAGATAATGATAGGCACCTAATTTATTTTAAAGGTTTTCTAAGATTTCGGTCGACTGGTCAAATGGATCCTGGTACAACTACCCTATCATGATTATTCGACTTTGTTTTGTTATTAGTCACTTGTATCATGAACTGTCAGATATAATAATCTTATTTAATTTATCTAGTTCAAAATCGCTATTTAAAGTTACAGAAAGCTTAATGTAATCCAACTATTTATCTTGTTTGGCGTTTTTAATTAATACCACTACCACATATTACCTAAGAATTAATCATATCAAAGTTTATTAGGTATTATCTATTGGCTGTATTTAAAATATTTTGCGGCGCAGAACAATTTATTTTTATTTCTAAATCAATAATCTCATTTTTTTTATAACTTCACAACCTTTGACAGCACTGATAAGTGGCATATAAAAGTTCAATGAGATAATGCAGTATCATTATTTTTTTAATGCATATAATTATGGTTTTATCAGACATTGCTTTATTAGCGTCTAGTTATTTTAAATGTCAATTATTTTTTTTCTATAAATCTTTGATGTTCTTTTTCGATATCATTTCATTAGCAACAGTATCGTATTTATTTGTGTAATTATTCATCAGACAGAAAATACCCATGTCCTTGTTTGTGATTTCAATTTTTTTTTATGTTAATAATTTGTCTCCATTTTTATTATGGAAAAGAAACTAGGTATTTTTTAAAGCAAAGAAAGGACCCGGTAATACCTATTTCAACTTTAATATAAGTCATAATTTCTCAGCACTAGTAGCATCATAATCTCGAGAATCTCGAGAAATGGGTCGAGAGTGAAATGTTGTATAGGATATATCACTTTCGACCAGTTTCCCGAGTGTCTCGTCGTCTTAGTCGTCGTCTCTTTTCTTCCCCATATTATTTAACCGTCTCAACTTATGTTTAAGTAGGTTCTTTAGATTTCTATGTGTTTCCATGAAATAATTTTTCTATTTAAGCATCCTTTAGACTTCATACAGAATGAACTCTTTATTAATTAAACAATATATAGATATATATCTTAGCGGGTGGTACTTTAATAGGTTTTTTTTATATATTAAATATATTTTCAGTGCCTACCCAACAAATCGATTAGATATACATTATACTGTGACGTATTATTTTGGCGTGATTTTTTTTTTGAAAAATATATTATATAATAATTATTTTGAGATACTTTTTAATATGTAAGTTAGAGAAAAATCGTCGGATTTTAGATTTTCAAAACTAGATCTCATCTTGAGGCAATTTTTATGTGCCTTTATAAAGATCTCTCATTAATTTTGGTTAATCAACGGAAAAAAAATATGTTTTTCAAAATTAGTCTTTAGGTCTGATTGATATTTGTCAAAAGAAATGTGAAAACTAACATTTGTCGTGTTGTAAGTACTACAAAATAAATTTCAATTCATATTTTTACGATTTGTATTATTTTGTGGGTGTCTTTTTATATGGAAATATATCTTTATGAAATAATATTGGAATTTTATTGATGTGTTCGTGCACGTATGCCCCATGTTGCCCGCAATACTCATAAAGTGTCAATTGGTTCAATATAATTTATACAAAAAATATTATTTAACATTGACATTACAAGAATCGAACTCGGGACCTCAAAGATGGCGACACTTTGTAACCGACGTGCAATGCATGCAGACCCTGCATGAAGGTCGGCAAAATAGCTTATGAGGTTTTTTTAATTTTTTACATAAAAAGTAAATATATGAGTTCTATGGAGCAATGTTTATGGTTCAGTTACACTGGTCGATGGGGCTACACATCATTAGGCTCATTGGTCAAAATTAAAATTACCAGGTTGGTTCAGAAATTGAAAGAACAAAGTCCGTATTTTATAACTTTCTCATTGCATTATTTTTATCAGTATTACGGTAATGATAATTACGATATAACTTTTTAAAATTCTTGTATTGAGCCCTTTAATTAATAATAATAATAATAATTTATTTTCTCCACAAACTTTTTCACTTAAACAATGTGTTTAGTATAATCATAAATATAGTTTGAAAGAGACTGACATCTAAACTAGAAAAAAAAATACTTGTATTTTAGAATATCAGGCCCCCACCCTCGACAGTTATTGCACTAAGAATAAATTTAAGCATCTTATGTGTGTGTGCGTGTGTGCGCGCGCGCGGGTGTGTGTGTTTATATGATCGATGTATTTTGTATTATTTAGTCATAATTTTTTCAGTATCTTATATGATTGATTTAAGAGCCATTGTGTTACTATTCTTTTACATTGTAATTTTGTTTTAGGATATAGATTAAGGAGTTAATTAGCATAATTAAACATCGACAAAAAATATATTATCCACATGTTAGACTGTTAGTCCCGGCTGCCATCTATAGTCATTAATACCTACCAATCCGCAATGGAGATGTTTTCTTATAGGTAAGGATTTTTACGTCCTCTGTCCTATCGGTCGTTGGGGCAGTGGTAAGCGCGTTCGATCCGCGAAACGGAAGCTAAGCAGCGTCTGGGCCAGTCACAGGATGGGTGACCACAAATTTATTATCTCCTCTGCGCTCTGAAAAGCATGTCAAGCCGTTGGTACCGGATGCATCTGCAGTCGTCAACCAATGCACACAGGGCCCGCGTGGTGGGAATGGCCCATTCTTCCTATTCGATTCTGTTCCATGATTCCATTCATAGGGAATCAGCCACAGCAGTAATAAAAAGGTTAGCGATAATAATGATGATGTCATCTGTCGTGTCCTAATCAGCAAACGACTTGGTATTTATTTCTTCTTTGTCGTATCATCAAATCTTAGTGTGTGTTAAGCTAGCAGCGACACCCTTTTCGATTTTGAAATTAATTCTTGATCATAAATTATATAAAATTGGACTAGTATAATCATTTCGATAGACGAAATTTCTTTTTTGCAGAAACAGAATTAACCTTCAGGTGTTATGTGGGGTGTTGGAGGGTTGAGTACGCTTTGGTATGCGGCGCTGAGCTATAGACTCTTCCCTCAAGTCCACCATACACGTCCGCGTCGTACACCCTGGAAATGTTTTGGGATCGCAACGGGCGCCGCATACTTACCATCTACCCCGGACCCCAAAGCAGCCAAGTATGGGGACGATGTCTGCAATGGCAGTCCCACCTTGCAGGCAGTCCTGAACCCTCAATCCCGTCATAATTCCAACAATCCCATCCCTCCCATTCCCCTCCTAACCTTTCCTTCCATCCTATCTCTAATCTTTCCGGGAGGAGACAACCTCGACTCCAAAAACCCCAATCCAAGGTGTCAATCGTACCGTGCCGAGGGATGAATGGCTGAGGGTATCAGTCTCAAACGGTGTCTCTCCGAAACCAGGGTGAATCGGAGTAGTAAATAACCCTTCGGGCGACATGCGGGGCTCTGTCGTTCGTGACCTTTTATTTCCCTAGCTACTCGTGGGTACAACATGGAAAAGGATAAAAATAATCAAATTAGCCTAAACCCTATGTCTTCCGTTCTGGAATCCATCCAGGACGGAATGAACCGTGATGAGGCGAAGAGGACTGCAAAGGACTCTGGAACGCCCATCAGTCTATCCCCTACAACGGAGGTGGAAGTCGTGGTCGAAGGAGGCAACTCTGGATCGCCCGACGCCCCATCCGAAGTAGAGGATACGAGCCAAGGCAGTCAGCGCAAGCGACTGTCTGGAGCAGCACGGAAGCGTCTCCGGAAGTTAGTGGCAGAAGCAGGGGTAGCTACAGAGCAAGCCCTTGTGTTATGCCGCAAGCCATGGAAAGACATTCCGATACCGAAGCCGACCTCTGTGAAGACCCTCAAGAGGGACAGATCAGAGGAAGACTCTCCTAAGGCGCACATCAATAAAGTCGCCAAGTTAAGCCCTACAGCCACAGGCGGCCCAAAGCCCCTTAGCTATAGGGAGATGGCGGAGACCTCCAGAGTGGGGATCCGGAATTCGGAACCCATGACGGAAGCCCAGATGGCGCTCGTACATCGTCACCTCATCGTGGCCCTAACAAAAATGGACGCGGAGGGCGATGGACCTGAATTTGTCGGTTTCAGCCACAGGACAGGATGGATACTGGTAACCTGCGCGAACCAGTATAGCCATGACTGGCTTGTGGCTGTAACACCAAAAATGAAGCCATGGCCTGAAGCTCAGCTGACCACCATGTCGGAGAGCGAGCTTCCAAGGCCATCTACGGCAACAACGTTTGTACCCAAGACGGAGGCTGCCTCAGTTACTGAGGCATTAGCCCTGTTGAGGGTACAGAATAAAGGCATAAATCCTGGACTCTGGAGGGTCCTAAACGAGAAGGAGGAAGAAGGAGGAAGGCTTGTCACCTTCTCCATCGACGAACCTTCCGTTGAAGCCCTCAAAGAGAAGGATTACTGGGTGACCCTCGGATTTAAGAGGGTTTACTTCAAGATCAAGGGCGACCATCAGGCCCCTCAGCATCTACAGTCTTCCTCCGAACCCCCTCCTGCCGCCGAACCAACGCCGTCGACCAGCGGAACACAGAAACCCCAGGGCTCACAACCTCGGGGTGGAAGAGCGCCGGTGGTCGTGGGCGGGGGCCGGCGAGGGAAGGGTAAGCATGCAGCTGGAGTGGCAAAACCCCAAAACCCGAACGCTAAAGCGCGACCAACGCCTCTAGCGGGGGGATCACGGGGTGCCGCGAAAGCTGCCAAACGGGGGAAATAAAATGGCCAACCAGGGGGCTCGGGCAAGGGTTCTGCAAGCAAACCTCCAACACGCCGCTGCTGCATCCGCAGTAGTGGAACAGTGCTTTGCAGAACGAAAGGTCGACCTTGCCCTGATTCAAGAACCCTGGGTGCATAACTCAACCATACTGGGACTCAAAGCCGCTGGTAAGGTACTTTATAACATTGATGGCTTGAAACCCAGGGCGTGTATTGTTTTCAGCAAAAACACTAACTATTTGCCTGTTACAGAGTTGTGCACAGATGACCTTGTAGCAGCATTTGTCAATCTCAAGGGATGGCACGGGCCCAGAGTGCTCGTGTGCTCGGCCTACCTGCCCGGAGATAAAGCTGACCCGACTGCTGAGCTCACACCCGTGGTCGACTACGCCCGGAGACACCATGCTGAGCTGCTTGTGGGGTGCGATGCGAACGCCCACCACACCGACTGGGGAAGTACAAACATTAATAACAGAGGTGAGTTATTAAACAATTACCTAGTAACCAATTGTCTTCAAACTTTAAACAATGGCTGTGAACCAACTTTTGTAACTAGGACGAGACAAGAAGTGCTAGATATTTCTTTCGCCACTTACAACCTGGCCAGGCATGTAGAAAACTGGAGGGTTAGTAACGAAAACTCAGTGTCAGACCATAGGCATATATGCTTAGAACTAACATCAGAACTAAGTACACATACTAGTGCATTTAGGGACCCTAAGCGCACCGACTGGGATGAATACAACAAACACCTTGTTCGGAACTTAGAAGTAATTCCTAAATGCATTAGAACGGTTGAGAACATTGAATTCGCGGTAGAGGCGGTCTCTAATGGCATTAAAGATGCCTTCGAGGCTAGCTGTACACCCAAAATCAAATCATCCAAAAGGAAAGTACCGTGGTGGAACTCAAAGCTGAAAAAACTTAGGGAGGAAACACGAAAGTTATTCAATAGGGCTAAAATCACCCATGAATGGGATGCCTACAGGATGGCCCTAAACGAATACAGTAAACAAATTAGAAAAGCCAAGCGTGCATCATGGAGGAAGTTCTGCGAGGAGATAACTAACACGCCTCAAGGAGCAAGACTTCATAAGATCATGGCAAAGGCACACTGTAATCCCTTAGGTCTCCTTAAAAGACCGAACGGGTCCTTCACGACTAACGAGAAGGAAACCTTGCAGCTAATGGCTATCACCCATTTTCCGGGATCTACTGATAATGCAGTAGCGATCACTCTTCGAAGGCCTCTACCAGAGGACTGGAGAAGAGCCGCTCTCGTTATTAGGCCTGGAATAGTGAAATGGGCCATTAACTCGTTTAAACCTTTTAAATCTGGTGGAATTGACGGCGTAGTCCCTGTGCTTTTACAACGGGGTGCCGCCAATCTCATCCCTTATCTGGTAAAAATCTTCAGAGCCAGTTTCGCCTGGGGATATATTCCAGATCTGTGGACTAAGGTGAAAGTCGTGTTCATACCTAAAGCTGGAAAGAAGGACTATACATCACCAAAGTCCTTCAGGCCAATCAGCCTCACGTCATTTCTTCTGAAGACCATGGAGAAGGTATTAGACAATTATATCAGACAAGGGAGTCTTATCAACAAACCCATACATGATACCCAGCACGCCTACCGAAGCGGCAGATCTACGGAGACTGCCCTACTAAACCTTATAGACAAGGTTGAAAAGGCACTGGACGATAAAGAAATAGCACTCGTTGCTTTTCTTGATGTGGAAGGAGCGTTCGATAACACGCCCACCGAGACATTAGTAAGAGGATTAGTCCATAAAGAGATTGACTCCACTACTGTAAGATGGATAAGAACCATGCTAGAGAGTAGGACAGTGAGGATGGAACTACTCAATGATTCACTAGAGTTAGCAACAACAAGAGGATGCCCACAAGGTGGAGTACTCTCTCCGCTACTGTGGACTCTTGCGGTGGATCAGCTTCTCCATAAGATGGCTGAACTCCGCTTTGACACCCTGGGCTATGCCGATGACCTGGTGGTGATAGTGAGAGGAAACTGCCAAAGTATGCTATCGCACCTTATGCAGAGGGCGCTGAACACAATTAACTCATGGTGTAAAAACAATAATCTGTCGATTAATGCAGGCAAAACCGTGGTCGTCCCATTCACAAGGAAACGAAAGCTGGACAAGCTTTCGCCTCCGACCATGAATGGGAGGCTCATTCCGTTCTCGACAGAGGTCAAGTATCTGGGGGTAACACTGGACCAGAAACTTACCTGGAACGCACACGTAGACGGAATTATACAGAAGTCTAAAACAGCTCTGATGATATGTTGTCGGCTAGCGGGAAATAGATGGGGCTTGAAACCCAATATAGCCCTCTGGCTCTACACAGCCATCATAAGGCCGATGGTGTCTTACGCCTCGGTGGTTTGGAGTAGAAAAACGACACAGAGTACTATCATATCAAGACTTAACAGTCTGCAAAGGACTGCTTGTCTTATAGTAACAGGAGCTATGTCTTCCACCCCGACTGCAGCCCTTGAGGCTCTGCTAAACCTGCCGCCCCTACATCTACACATTGAAATGGTGGCGAGGGCTAGCATGTACAGGATTACTAGCATGGAGGCGAAGACATGGCTGTCAGGTAATTTGAGGTACTTGAAGGACTCAATATGCAATATACCAATCCTGGGGATGCCTACTGACACCATGCCCCCGAGAATCGATTCACACAGGTCATATCTTGTGGAGATACCCACCAGGGACGACTGGTCAAACAATCGTATAGTATGGAAAAATGGAAGCCTAAAGTGGTACACTGACGGCTCCAAATCCGGTCCTGAGGTAGGATGTGGAATTCATGGAGAAGCCCCAAGGAAGGCTATAAGTCTGAACATGGGAAAGTACTCCTCAATATTCCAGGCAGAGGTGTACGCCATTTTGGAATGTGCGGCAGCCAATCTGCAAAATAACTACCTCAATCATACTATCTACATCCACTCTGATAGTCAAGCTGCACTCTTAGCACTAGCTTCCGACATAACTAGATCGAAGCTGGTCGAGAACTGCAAACAGACACTGAACTCTTTGGGCAACAACAACAAAGTAGTTCTACGATGGGTTCCAGGGCACGCTGGACACGAGGGCAATGAACAGGCGGACAAACTGGCGAAAAAGGGTGCTAAAGACGCCCTTATCGGACCAGAACCTTTCTGTGGCATCCCTCAAAGCCTAACCCAGCTCACCTTGAAAACTTACTGCCACTACGCAGCTATTCAACTATGGAGAAACACTCCCGGTATGAAACACTCTAAGACCCTGATTAAAACCTTCAACAAAAAGGCGGCATCAGAGGCCTTAAACTTAACCAAAACTCACCTTCGCACACTAGTACGAGCACTCACAGGGCATTGTGGACTGAACAGACACATGCACAATATGGGGATCAGCGACAGTAGAATGTGCAGAGGATGCAAGGAGGAAGAAGAAACACCTTTGCACATTTTGACCGATTGCCCGTTACTAATGCGAAAACGATGTATCTATCTGGGAAAGCACGTGATGCACCCAGACGATATTAAAGAACTTACGGCCAAGAAAATACTACAGTTCCTTGTAGAATGTAATCTTGACCGTGAACTGTAGTATGTGGAGATCACAATAGATCAGCAATGGTCGCAGTGATACTGGGCTGCATAAACCCAAGATAATCCGCAACTCGAAACAATACAATACAATACAGGTGTTATGTTAATTCGTAAGATTAGCAGTTATGTTATCTCTTTTGGAAATGAAAATACAAATATTAATTTGCGTTCGTCCTCTCAGAACGATCACTCTTTATTATTTATATAAACTTTAAATTATTTACATGTTCCGCTTTTGCTACTTTACATTAATATAGTCAACGATGTTAAAATACAATCAAACAAAAAAAAAAAATTATATATAGTTATATAACAGAAATACACAAGACAAATTTACATTTTCGTACCTACTATATTTAAATAGTGGGAAAAATTCATGGACTAGTATACCCAATTACAAAAAATAATATTTCCCCACATTTTTCTTCTCGATATTTTCATATCCAATTTTTTAAAAGTATTTCATAAATTCCGGCTTCGAACGTACTAAAAATTACATTTCTTTTAATTTACCTTCATTGTTTCGCCGATAATTTATTAAATACTTCAGTCTAATATATTGCTTAAATTGATTCAAAATATACAGAAAAAAATATAGGTTGCACTGTCATTGCATCAATTCATGAGACAATTCCATTTTATCTGAATGGATACATTTTTACATGGCATTAAAACAACTTATTCTACAGTTTCAAATCATCATACATTTTTAATTACTTCAATAGACGGACATAGTGTGCGACGGAGAATCTATCTGTATATAATAGTGAAAGAGACATCTATCTTTTTACAATCCCAATCGCTCTTTAAATTTTATTTATTGAAATGCAAGGGAATCAAAAGAAATAAATCTTATATGTGGAAAGATTATTACATAACGAATTGCATTGTGAGACTTAAAAAAAACTATGTTCGTCTATATTCTCTATGGTCGAAATCATATTTTTGTTATTTTAAGTAAGTTTTTTTAAACACTAACCGCATTAGTAATAAAACGTCATATGAGCATAACAATAATATATTATACTGTTCACTCTTTAACGGTTCTAAATGAGAGTGAAAGAGAAAAACAATAGTATAACTGCATATGCTGATACAAGTCTTTATTACTAAGGCCCTAAGATTCTAATTTACAGAAAGTGCACAACATCGATTGGTGTCAGTCTATAAATAGTTTGGATGGAGTTATTCCGAAACTTCTTTAGGAAAATATATTACAAGAAAGCTGCTGTTACATAAAAAAATGTAAACATATTGCCATATTAAAAAAACTACCGAGTTGCGACTTAAACATGGCAACACTGGGAATTTAATATAAAAAGTAGCAGGTTTTATTTTTGTTTAGACATATTTTTTTTTTGAAGTTTTCTTTAATTATTATGTATAAAAAGTTCTGTGACATTGCTATTTCTAAGCCACAACTGTAATAAATATATTATGGCAGTGTTTTTTTTGTCAGAAGTATTTAAGCAAAAACTTAATCTAAAGCGTACAAATGAACATCACAGATTTTTATTCCTACAGTAAAGGAAATGCAAATTAAAGAGGAAAATGCCATGATCTCAACGTAAAAAGGCCGATAGACTTAGTAAGGTCACATTGGAAGTACTAAGAGTCTAGTACTAAAACACTATTTTATATACAAAATCTGACTTTCGTTCAGAAACCTACAGCGGTATTTTTTTTTTTTTTATGAAACTACTACATAGTCATAATTTAAATAAAACTAACAATTTATGATCACACTAAAGGTTTCTGAACGAACGAAGGGACTCGCAGACAAGTCTTAACAAGTGGTACTATCACCAACACTCCGTACGACGTGTATGCAAGCGCCTACAACTCAAAAGTGGTCACTGAAACTTGAGCCTTTATAATTAAGTAGGATCACAGTGGAGAAAGTGATGTAGGTTTACATTCTAAACTATAAATATACGTTTTTAAAGTCCATATTATGGCAAGGTTTCTACGTAAACGCTATCACTTATCGTGGTTTCTATAAAGACATCTATTGTCTACGTCCATAGAAAAATTCATTGCCTACTCTGTACATTCTCGGTTGAAAGTCACAACACTCAAAAAATATTACAAAAAACTGGAGCGTCTACGCTCTGATCACATAATTCACCGATTTTAAAAACTGGGCTGCGACACAGTCCTCGGATTCCCACTCTGTGGTTGGTATACGTCATAAGAATTGTGCGGTTCCAAATGGCACACGACATTATTTTCCCCGTTCAATACGGCGGCCAATGCCCTCATATTGTTTTCCTGGGGCTGGTGGTACGGATGCATAAGTCTACCGCTTTCGTAATGCCTCGGATCGTAGCGTTCTAAAGTTTCCCATTTGCCATATTTTCCATAATGTTCGTCGTGATGATGCCTCTCACCCGGACTGTAGGAGATGAGAGGCCTATGGTCCCCAAAAAACTTGGAGCTCGACGAGCCGTGGTGTTGAACCTGACGGCAATTGTCAGGGCCTGAGTTGTCATCGGACATATCCGACATGAGTGTTTCATTTCTTTCTATTTCTTCGTAAACTGGGTCGTCTTGGATGACCCTGAATTCCTGCTCGGAGCCGCGACGATACATACGGGCTTGCTGCGGTCCAATTTCCGAGTAAGTATGATTCACGTTCTGACTGTGGTGGTGATGTTTCCTCCTGTTCTCGTCTTTGTAGTGTTTCCGAAAGATCATCTCTTGGCTACCAGGGGAGTGTTGGGACATATAAACGTGAGGGTTTCTGAAGTCATGGTTGTAGCTGCGCGTGGTTTGATACCCTTGGTGATGGAGAGGACTCTCCTCGTCTTTGACCACATGACGGGGAGATCCCGGTGCTATAGGCATATCGCATTCATTGTAAGGGCTGTGTAAATGGTTTTGTTGGACCATTTGCCGGGATAAAGTGTCATGGTGGGGTAAAGTCGCTGCGTTACCAGGATGGAGCTTAGAAGAAGTGTTCTGTGGAAAAACACGGATATCAGTTTTGAATAAAATTGGCATTATAACGCTACTTTAATTTATATTAAAAGGATGATGATTTAAAGTAGCATGTTCTTTGCAATTAAGAAATATGCTATGATTTGATTTGTCATATGAGACAGCTCAATGTTGCCATTCTTTGAAATTTGATGTGATATCTGTAATACCTACAAACCGCATTATGCATATAGCTAATTAATATAAGAATATCGACTAGTATCATTGCTAGGAAAAGAAATTAATAAAGAAACACAATTAGAAAAAGAAAAGGTTTCTTATCCGTTGTTGAAGTGACGTAGACAACAACAGTACATTAGGCTACCTAAATCTTCGATAACCGTTCGAGTGCATGTAACAGTCCCCTACTGGCTAAGTATGCCCCGTTCAGATTCAGATAATTTCTGACAAAGGAATTTTATTCGTAAAGGACTTATTTTTAGATTTCATCACATAGACACAGTAAATAACGCTTGGAAAAGTAAAGTAAACCTTAATTAATTGTATATGACGTGCAAAATCTATAACATTTGAGATATCGTAGTAACCAAAGGTACTGCTGTGTGAACATACATATTAACAATTATGAAAACGATCCGATAATGTAAGTGCTCGAAAACTCGTGCTTATTTTTTACTAAACTAAGTGTGAATTGTTATGAAGGCTATGGGTTGGGCTAACATTATGTACAATTGTGTGAAATTGGATGATGCCATGCAACGTTCAATGGTTAGGAAGGAGACATGCGAATTAAATACTTCGGTAAGATCTCTAGAAGAAATTACTTTATGAGAAAGGACAGTTCTATATCATAATACTAATTCTGAAAGAAATATTAATGAATGTATTAAAACATGCGATTGTCATAGATGCAAGTTAATAAAGTAACTTCAATTTATCTTTTATCGATGGTTCTAATTTGTTATATATACAATAATAACAGTAATTTTAAATACTATATTTTTCTGTTTTCTAAATGATTAAAATTTCACTTATTTGAATTATTTTATGTCATAGTTTTCATAGATTCTTGCGTTCATTCTTCTCCATAGTTAAAAGAATTTTCAAATGGCTGGGTAAGGATTAAAATATGGGCCTATTAAAAAAAATCGTTACGCTGGCAGTATTTGAACAAAATAAATTTTAATTTTAATATTGTAATATCAAAACAAAATCAACTATGTTGTTTCTTGGCATAGACGGAGTTCTACAGTAGAGGAAGATTTTCAAAATTATTGGTTACAAATAACATTTGAAATGTATGTATGAGTGACATAACGAACCAGCGTGGCACAGATATAAGCGTGGTTATTTATTTTAAATGTTGGTCGATGTTGATCTATGAGTGAATTGTCTATGGACATAATTCTAAAAATTAACAACACCAAAACTTCGAGACCTTACCAAAGCAGACTCTAAGAAACTAACATCACACAAAGCGTACAGCCCACCCCTCACCTTCCATATGCCACCACCATTCGCCATTAACGCCCAATCGTTCGCGCCAATGGAAGCGGCCATCTTGTTAGAAAAACAAGATGGCGACCTCGCGCGTAAGTTTTGATAATCGTTCGGCACTTCGATATTGTTTCTGTAGCTATGCATTGAGGCAATGCTTTGCGTGTGTGAAGTGCTATGTGGGATATTTTGCGGAGTTGGCACTCGTACGTTTCTATCGTCAGTTGGTACGTATATTGGCGCGGTTGGCCTCACATTCCATCTTGCCGTCTCCGGATGAATGTTGTAGCTCTGTATAGTTATTATAAATATTATAATTATAGTAAATATATATAAATACACCAATTATACTTCGAATTCATATAAAAAGAGACTAATAATTATCTCTACCACCTTTGAATATTGGGATATATAGCTGAAAGATTATGGCTGCTGTTGTCATGCACATTATTTCCTATCTACTTATAGATAATATGTATATAAGTATTGAAAACAGATATGTAGAATTTTGTCAACGATCTGAACATATTCTTTCTACAAGAAGGATTTTTGCTATTTTATGCATACGTATTACACAGAGATAGGATTTAAAAATTCAGTCTTACTTTAAGAGAATCTGAATATGACTAGAAGCATCGTTAGTTAGATGCTCTAGGACCACCACACCACTAGGAAATTTGTTAGTAAAGGAAACAGTTTTAAATGAGTTACATAAAGCGTTAGTTTGTTTTTAGTAGAACATAAAAAATATGACTTACCGTGTCAATAAATAGGTAGCATAATATCACACGTAACGAATGATATTCTGTATAGCATGCTACCTTTGTATTAAATTAAAAAAAAAAGATAAAGTGCGTTTCGTTTCACGCGGTGTACGAAAAAAAGACAAATTGTTAGTTACACAAGAGTAAAACAAAATGTTAAAACAAACAACACACGAAAAACAAAATTGAGCTGTCTTTTAGTAACAACAAAAGCCGAGGTGGTGTCTGGGTGGTATTTAATTATTATTGTAATTAAAATTATCTGTGCGAATTTCGTCTAAATCCTATCTCGGTTAATGCGTACGCACCTTGCTGGACATTCTGTCTATATCCTGGCGGGTATCGACCGCTGCCCGCATTCATAGGATTCCTCAAATGAGCCATCGGTGCTCCATCCCTTTCAGGGATGTTCCTTTGGAATTCCGCCGCTGTCGCGTTTAGTGTAGGTCCGAAATTGCTTGGCGGACCGAAATTCTGATTGTCCTGGGAATTCCTACGGTTCCTATGCGAATGGTAGCTGTGTGCTGCGGCCGCGGCGGCTAGTGATGCGACAGCGGCGTTATTTATAACATTATTGTTATTATGATTGTTGTTATTTACGACGACGTTCAGATTGTTGATCACCAAGTTGTTTGTCGTAGATGCGGACACTGATGTACTCGCGGTGCTCTGTTAGCATAATTAATACTTATTTACATATTTCTATAGTGTTAAAGTACCGACACCAGTTTTAGGACTAACAATATGGTTAATAAATTAATCGAATATTTCATCTGTTTTAGTCTATGTTAGAAGTGTATGTATGTATCTGTCTCATCGAATTTATGTTATATATTTAAATCGATTACTTTGGTACCATCATTGGTATTGTAAGGAGGATAACTGATATTTTAGTTTCTTTTTTTCTTGTTTTTCTCTATTGCCTATAAGGTTATTCTACCTTTATTGTTAGGAAGAGCTGCTGAAATAAACATTTAATAAAGTGTTTCTACAAGTTTGAATTTTATTACGGTAAGCTAATTACTATCATAGTTTCCACTGAAATTCAAATTTACAGCACAGCAGTCAATATTAAAACGTAAACAGATAGTAAGCTCTTTTAAAATACTTTATTAATTTTTACAAAACATTATTATTTCATTTTCTGGGATGTCTAATGACACCATATTATTTACTGTTAGAGTGGCAATATATAAAAAAATTGCCGTCATACAAAACATATCAACACACTTTAAGCTAATGCGCTGTAATAAGTGTATAATATACACTTAACGTCTAATGACACAAGACTCGTTTGTATTATTGACACAAATTCCAATCTATTTATTTATTTATTTTCGAAATTGGTAGGTTTTTTGGTAGTGTTGTGTTGAGATATTATAAATACTGCAGATTTTATTTCTGGACCTGGATCAAATTTTACAGCAGGTATATATATATACCAATTCGTTTTCCCTATTCGAACTTACTACTACAGAATGTATATATATAATTTTTTTATATTACTGTTATTCAGAAAAAAATGTAGTAAATCAAGAAAAATAATGTTTTGTAGATATTTAAAATCATATTAGTTTTTTTTTAATTTCACTATAGATAAAAAGAAATGTATATAAATACGTTGCCACTTATGATATGTTTTCTGTACTCGGAACGACCGTTTCTTATCAACGTACACATGACTGCCCGTCAGTTTACCACAATATGTCAGAATTCTTCAATGGGTTTGACCTCCATCTTTAACGTATTCTGGTTAAAAATCGAATGAGTAAATTTGTCATTTTTGTATAGTCTGACGTGCAGTTGAGTGTACCTAACTACAGATTATACATGAACTTGTTAATAAATATTAAAATAAAAATTTAACTATCAATGTTATTAATACATAATTGAAATTAAAAAATAAATAAATAAGTAAGTATACAATTTGTTCCCCTATATCACAGAATATTATGTACTGAAAAATGTTTAAAAAATCCACTAAGAATATTTTTCAGAATATAATATGTTTATTCTGTGCTGCCACCGAGAAGGGATGCGCTGGAAAAAATACCTCGACGGTCACGTGATATGGTAACATACCGTGACGTCTCTCGGATCGACTACGTCCTCAGCGTCGGCGGACGCGTTCTGGTGGTAGCGGCGGCTCTTGACGGAGCCCTGGCGCGTGTCCACGTGGTTGGTGGTGGAGGGGGGAGGAGGGGGCGCGCCCGTCAGCCGCAGGCAACACGACAGCCACGGGTGGCGGCGGCACAGGCGGCCGCACTCCTTTTGGAACTGCATAGCGATTTCCGTGAGAACCCGTACCGTAACTCACATCGGTTTTCAGATACGTTTTGATATATCGAACTCATGTTTAGGTGCTTTTTACAAGTACTCGTGAAAGTCGAAACTAAGCCAGAGTTTATCAAAGTGGGGTACGCGAGAAGATTAACGTAAGGGAAGTTTTGATTAGTTAGTTAAAGGGTTCGCTGCCATCTGGAATCTTTAACAGGGTTACAAAATGTTTGTTGATAACTACCGACATTTCACTAAAAAGAGGCCAATATATGATTTTTTTTTACAGAAATAAAGTTTGTTATAGTAAAATATTAAACATTTATAAGGTAGTACTCACAATTTCGTTTTGTAAGCAGTGGAAGATGAAAATGAAGAGTCCCTGTAGAGAATTGAGGATAGTGAACGCATACGCGACGCCTACAGTCTGCTCGTTCAGATACAACAAGCCGAAGGTCCAAGTCAGACCCAAGAGGAAGGCCAGTACCAGAGAACTGTTCAACCACACCCTGGAACAAATCAAGAAGGTTTTATAACATTCATTTTTCAAAATGTGAAATATATTTTAATACATCTCAATTATGTTGTTATTTAAGAGGTCTGGCCCATATAGCCTAGCCTGAGATAATTCTTGCGTTTTCACTAAAACATGTTTTTGTCGTTTAAATTCTTTGTGGTCTTTTCGGGGCTAATCAAAAAATGCAGAGGCCAAGAGATCATGAGGTGACTCCTTTATTCACTTCTATAATTTCTAAAATTCTTCTAAAATTAAAATTGACCTAATATATACTTTCTGTGTGGACCTGTAAATGGCTTCCTATAGTCTATTTAATCGCTATGTATTTGTTATAGCTGTTGGTCTTCCCAAAATAAATAAATAAAATAAATATATTTAGAATATATTACTTATTTGTTGTTTAGAGTAAATGCTTATGTAACATATCAATTTAATAACGATATTTTATATTAATTTAATAACGATAGTTTTGTTTATAAAAATGAACTACAAATACAAATTGTATGTATAAATACAAATTTTGCGTATCTTTATTAACACTGTCTTGACATGACAGCTTCTTCTTTGCGAGTGACGTCACACGTCGGTAAACAAAACAATGTTATTTGTTGCGACGACAATCAATTACAGGACGTTTCCGTCGTTCATTAATTTCTTAAAATGTTGATTTTTCTTAACGTAGCTTTACTAAAGCCAAACATGATTCTAAGGAATCCTTTTTAATAAATGAATATCTCACAGGATGACCACAACACGCAACTTATTTTTAATAGTGTCAAATAATCTATTGTTGGAAATTATGGAATCAAGAATTTATTGAAATACATACCTTATTTTATATAACTTTGAGTTCTCTTTAGCTTTGATTGATACTGTTGAGTGATGGCACATCATATAAATCACCATGCTCAGACATATCCAGTTGGCCTGTAAATAAATAAGTTTAAATTATAACGGGAAAGGGCACTTGTGTAGACATAATTATATCACAGTATATAGTGTGGGTCTACGAAGACGTATAGACAGTACAATCTATTTTTTGGTAATTTGGCGTATTTTGTTTATTGTCATAAGAATAGTCCATGTTGTGTGATATGTGAGACCGTGAGTATGAGAGAGTGTTGTGTGAGACTTTTGCCCGCGATAACGCTCGCGTGGTCTAGATTTAAGTCCAGAAATGAGAAAATTCCATAAAAACTTTAATCCCCTAATTTACCCCTTAGGGGTCGAATTTCGTAAAATCTCGTCTTAGTGAGCACCTAAAAAGAACCAACATGTAAAATTTTAAACTCCTAGCACTTTTTACTAAGTTTCATACAAACTTTCATCCCCTAATTAAGCCCCTTCGGGGTGGAATTTACAAAAACCCTCTCTTAGTGCTCCTCTACACTCCCTAAGGGATCTTCATTCCAAATTTGAACTTTTTACGCTCAGTAGTTTCGGCTCTACGTTGTCTGTCAGTCAGTCAGTCAGTCACTCGGTAACATACCCTCAAGTACTCCCAATAACACTGTGGCTATATAGCAGCCGTACCGGACGCCAGTACACTGCGTCTATATCGCTCACTGAATAGTACAGTGGCACAACTCAAAAACCATATTTCGAGAAACGCTCACCGAAGTTATGAAAATTTAATATATTTATACTTATGAAAATCATTTTTTTTTAGCATAACAGTTAAATCGTTTGTATTATATTATTACAGTTAAGTTTTTATTTTTTCTTCCAATTATCTATGGGATGCCACCACAATGTTGTGGCGTTTTCTCGAAAAAATGTTTTTCGAGTTGTGCCACTGTACTATTCATTGAGCGGTATATAGTAAGTACTAACCGCGAGCACTAGAGCGACCGGTCCCACGAAGCTCATGACGAACAGTCTCTCGGTGGAGAGCCAGTAGTGCGCGCGCGTGCCGTACCCCTGCGGGTAGGCGGCGGCGGACGCCAGTACACAGTGTCTATATATAGTAAGTACTAACCGCGAGCACTAGAGCGACCGGTCCCACGAAGCTCATGACGAACAGTCTCTCGGTGGAGAGCCAGTAGTGCGCGCGCGTGCCGTACCCCTGCGGGTAGGCGGCGGCGGACGCCAGTACACAGTGTCTATATATAGTAAGTACTAACCGCGAGCACTAGAGCGACCGGTCCCACGAAGCTCATGACGAACAGTCTCTCGGTGGAGAGCCAGCAGTGCGCGCGCGTGCCGTACCCCTGCGGGTAGGCGGCGGCGGACGCCAGCACCACTAGCGCGGGCGCCAGGTACGCGCACGCGCAGTACCAGCGCGCGCGCGGACGCTCCGGCTCGAACACCTCCACCAGCATAGCGTACAAGTGGAAACCTGACATACATATGTGTTTGTAGTATTGGAAAAAAAATATATAAAAAAATCAGACTGCGTGAAAACAAAAGAAAGGTAATAGTTATTTAAGATACGAGTGCGGAAAGTAAGGTTTTAGCGAGGGTTTTCATTGGCACGAATTCGAAAAACCTTTTACGCTCAAGTTTCTTACAACATTTTTCAATGCTTTTTGCGAGGAAATAAAACAAATATATAGGTTAATAAAACTAAGTATGTATTAAAGGTAAAAATTATTTGTTAAAATTAAACGTGATATTTGAACATGTTTTCGTGTCATACATTTTTATTTGAAAATATTCGTTCTAGGCTCCTTGAAATACTTTTGCCTCTAAAGTTTGACATATTTTCATCAATTTTTTTTTTTAAATTGCTTTGGTGCTCGGCCAAAAAAAAATAAAAAAATACTTTTAAGCACGTGTGCAGTAAAGGATTTCAGTACATTTTTATTTAACACGTGTTTAAAGACTCACTTTCGGTGTTTACAATGGATTAAAAAAATAGCGCTTTATGAGCAACTGCATTGAAAAAGAATATATAGTTACTTTCACTAAAAACTAGAAAGAAAAACAAACCCAGCAGTTTGGAATGTTATAAAGTACTGCTGATTAATCGCTCCATTCATTTAGTTTTAAAATCTATACACACATAAAACATATCATTAATTTTAAAGCAGAATTGAAGGATCGACAGTCAGGACCCAATTAAATTATACGGGGCTCCGTTGATTGAAATATGCAGGTACCAAATTGAAATTCCGTTTGTTGAAATAACGCAAGCGCCGCGTTCGGAATGACGTCATTCGGTTTTTTCGAACTGAACTACGCAAATGTATGTCCGACATGAACGTCAAGTTTTTTTCCCAAATTGAAATCGAAACAAACGCGTGGATATATATTTTGTTTTGGATCTCCTAATTTGAATTTCTAATCATGAAAACGAATGTGTGCGGCCCACTGTAGTATTTTACAATATAAAATGTGTGTTTTATTTGCCCAATATTATTAAAAATGTAGATACAATATGCCACGCAATATCATACACGTACCTTCCAAGAACATCCAAGCGAAGGCAGCGAGGAAGAAATAGTGCAAAACACCGGCGATGACACCGCACAGCACCCTGTATTCAGTCTGATCAATACCGGCCATGAATACAACTTCAGCTATCAGCAGGCACACGCAGAGGTTCTTATGTATGAGGACACGATCAGACTGCAAGAAACACTTCAATTCAAACAAAACCCACAAACAATAAAGTAAGATTGAGTAGGTCTTTTCTCCGAAACAAAATTTCACTTATTTAACAAATTAATTTAAACTTCAAGGATATGATTTTAACAAAATTATAAGGAAGTTTCGAAAATTTCTGAAATTTCGTTCGTGAACCAACAGAATAGGTCCTCGATCGTTTTATGTCCAGAAGAAAAGGGGTAGTTTTAAATTGTTGTACTTATGTGTTCTATATTCTTGTTTCAATCTTCAAAACCTATCTTTACTCATTAAAAAAAAAATCTTTCTTTTACTATAGGTATTAGATAATTATATTCTGAAGAGCTCGGCTAAGTAATTTTCGCAATCTTTTGATCTTTTGATAGGTGGCCAAAAAACTGGAATGCTTTGGGTGGACTGTTAAGCTGTTGGTCCCGATTGTGGTCATTGGTATCTACCAATCCAAATTGGCCCCCCTTGGTCGTTATTTCTGATTTTTTTTGTTCCTATTTGGTATCATTCATAGAAATCATTCTTTTCATATTTCTGAAGCAATGAGACATTATTATAACGACATTTCATATAGCACAACCCGCGACCGTAAGTAGACTCGGAGATAGCGATGGTCGTGAGCAGCGAAATTCACAAGAATTTGATGAAAAGTTAACTATCACGAGGTTATTGGTATTTAGCAAAATGCATCAAGATGTCTTTCCAGACTGTATCTGCTGTCATTACCGTCAACCAATTCACACTGGGCCCAGGATTTTTTGTTAAGTTTCTCCCCCTATTTCTTTACACGGGGCAAATGTGCGCCTCAACTTTGAGACATTTTTAGCATCATGTTTCTGAAGCAGTGGAACACTACTATAGTAGTAAATAGCGCGACCCACAATATAAATATGAGTAGCCTCAGAAACAGCGCGTGCACTTCGTTCATTGGAACTCCATGAACGTTTGTCAGTATAGCGAAATTAGTAAAAACTTAATGAAAAACTGTCCTTTATACTTTGAAAGGTCCGTTAAACTGTTGGTCCGGTCTATATTCGCTGTCAATACCATACTCTCCTTTTTCTTTTCCTGGAGCAAATCTGTGCCTTAACTTTGAGACCTTCTTACCTTCATATTTCTGAAGCAATGGAACACTACTATAGCAGCGAATAACGCTATAGCAGATATAGCGCAGCCCACGAATGTGAGTAGCCTCAGAGATAGCGCGTGCACTTCGCTCAGTGGTACCCCGTGAACGTCCATCAGTATTGCGAAATTAGTGAGATGGGAGCACGCGCAACCAGTGTGGGTAGAGTTAGACCAATCCACGGTGCAACCTTCTGATGACCAGCCGCTGTGGAAAAATAATAAACAAACTTATGTTATTCACAGCTATACATGTAATTACATTTTTTTAATATGGAATAATTGTACAGTGCTTACGTGATAGCCAATTACAGGTATACATATATAAAAAAAACATTAATTACACAACACCGACTAATGTCCAATGTGTTTCTTCAAGAGTTCTTTGAAAAATTTAAAGCTATCATTAAATATATCAATTTAGGGTACAATGTTTGATGACAACCAGGGTATTTATGTTTCTAGATGGCGGCAGAATATCAGAAACATTTCTGTAAATTTGTTACTTGACCATTTTTGGAAAAGTATTTTAAAACTTCTATTTAATCAACAAGATTGATTTATTTTTCTCCAAAATATGTTATTAGTTAAAAGAAAAACATATATTAATTCATATATTAAATTGGCCCGCGAAAACAATCAGTCGACATTTCGAGCTGTGACGTCACATTTCAATAAACAAAACCGTAGATGTTTAGTTTTTTTGAAAATTGGCCGCCCACGATATTCCACCATGGGCGGCCATGTTCTTGTAATTCACAGAATAGAAATGGGAAATAAACAAAAAAAAAAAGAAATTATTTCAAGACAAAAAGTACTACATAGCTTTTGTTTACGTAAAAGTTACCATTTCCATTTCATTATTAAATGGTTATAAATGTCAAGTAGCCAATTATTATAATGATAGCATATTTTTTATTGTTGATGAAGGGAGTACTGTACTTACTGTAAAGTGTAATCCCAGAAGACGCACGCCGGATTGGTGACGTTCTCTGTTTTCAAGTGCTTCATTGTCAAATGGACCATCTGTGACAGTTGGATATGGCGACCGTTACCAAGACTCGCCGATATCACCTGAAAAAGCAAAGGAAAAGTCAAAATATCATTTTAAATTGAAATATTGCACTCGAGGATCTCGATTAAGCAGTGTTTTCGACGTTAAATAAGTTTCGGAAGGGCCAGCATAGGATGGGTGACCAAAATGTATTATCTCTAGCTCCTTCATGCTAAGGAAGGCCGTTAAGCCATTCATCTCGGCAGTTGCAGTCGTTTACACCTACCAATCTGCACTGGGCATGAATTGCTAGATAATGAGAAAGAGACAGAAGAGCTTTAAAGCAACAAAGTGAACAAAAATCACTTCATAGTAAATTTTATAAATCACATTTTAGTTTAGAGCTTTTAAGTAGCAATATTATGTAGTTTTAGTTTTTTAGAAACAGTTTATTTATTTATAATCAGTTATGTGTAAAAAAATCTTCCCGATTTAATAAAAAATTGCACCTTTAAATATCTATTAGATATTTAATCTGGTGAAATTTAAAAAAAGACTAAAGTGATTTTTATTATTCTCACCTTAGAGTTCAGAACCCTAGTAACGTTCCTCTTCTCCCTTTCCGAGTTGATGCTGTTAGTTGACGTAACTGGATCGGCAGAGAAGGCGGCATACTGAGGGTTCTTGATAAAAGTCGGCGGTAAGATTTGTTCAAGACGATCGAAAGCGAAGAACACTATACGGACTAGGTCGTTTTGTCGATTATCTGTGGAGAACGCAATGAATTACAATAAATACTTTATAAAATGTTTGTCTGTTGATCATTCTTTGTGTGGAGATAGTTGTGTAGAGTGAAATTGAATTTTTGCTGGGAAAAACTTTGTTTCCTTTCATCATACAGGCGAACTCATAAGTAACAGTTGTATTAAAAAGAGACTTAAAATATCCGGCTCGAAGGACCAAAAAAATTTCTTTAACATATTGACACTTATTATTAATCGAATTGAATGCTATGTCGTTTACCATGTGAGGACACAAAGGGGAATTTATTTTTAGGTCTTCCAGTGAAAGTAAAGTTGAGTTTAAAAGTTTTTTTTTTATAAGCATAATATTGAATATTAGACTTACCTAACAAAGCTGCTTTTGGTATAGTAATAGTGTCTTCTGATGCTGTCCACTGGTCTTGCGTTATTGGTGGAGGGAATGTCTCGTCTTCAACGTTCTTTACTTCTAGAACCCTTACTGATAGACCTATAAAGTAAAGAAAATTACGTAAGTACCAATTGTGATGGATTATTAGCTCATTTTGGGTATACCGGTAGGGCCCGGTCTAGGGGCGAGGGCACGCCTACCAAGTAAGAATGGCGGCAATAACCCCCTATTTTTACTATATCAATATTAGCAATTAGGTTGAATATTGAAGAGGTTTATAACTTTCGCAGAGGTCAGTCATAAGATGGGTGACCAATTAAGTTGATAGATGTGAGCACTATTCTTTGTAGCTGTGGAAGGTGCGTGAAGACATAGGTCCCGGCTGTATCAGCAGTCCTTGATACTCAATAATCCGCACCGAGCCCTGATGGTGGGTTACTGCCTGTTCTCTCTTTATTACTTTATTAGGTGAAGGCTTGTGCTCGAGTTATAGGAACACCAATAGGCTGATGATGAATTATATGAACAGCTTATTCTTTTCCAGCGAAGATAATACTATGAGTATTACTAACGTAAATAAAGATAGAACTAAAAGATGGAAAGTGATGCAGAATATAAGTAATCTAATCACGGGCAACATCAGCTCTTCGCGAGCTAAATTTGTACTTTATTACCCAGTATTAAGATTCACTATTCATTAAAATATTTAACTGTATTTGCATTAAAAAGAACGGTTATACTTACATATATTTTTTACTATTTGTAAAATAGTCTTTTCTTTGGTAACAGCGTCTGCTAATAAGAACGCATTTTCTTCCAGTTGTGTGAGAAGGGCACTTGCTGCTCTGTTTTGTGCTTCAGGGCTTAAGTCCGCCCATGATGCTCTTTGGCTTTCCTCTAGGAGATTTGAACCTGGAGGAAGAGTAGATTAATCATTAGAATATTTCCTACAACAAGATATTTACAACGATGCAAAGAACTAGGGAAACTGACCAAAGCATTTGACTATACATTGTAAAATTATTCTTACTGTCTGGGTGTTGTGGTACACGCGGAAGCACGTCAAGTTACATGTATATTAATGTATATAAATTAAGTTATATGTATATGAAATAATGCCTTATTTTATTTTCAAATCAATCACTCCAAATAAAATGTAGAAAAAAATATTTTAGTAGAATGCATATAAAAAAAGAACTAAGTCGAAACTTTTTTAGGTCAATGCCAATAATCGACTATAAGAAAAATCAAGTGTTCGCAGTTGTTTTTGAACACCTATGTTTAATATTTAAGTTTTTAAGTTTTTTATAATCTGACATCCTATTGACTGTACATTTATTGACTCAGACCAATAGGCATTAACTAATTATTATTATTATTGAGATCTGAGAAATATATGAAACGTTAGCTAATATTTTTATAACTTATATTACAATAAGAATATTCATTCGTCTATTGATAAATATTTACAATTGAAATGCTTAGATCCAATTGTTTTAAAACAATCCGAAAATCGTTGGCGCGAAATACATCAAATGTCAAAGTCAAAGTGACAGCTAACTGACAAATGCCCGTAATATAATCGAATAATATCGATGCCCATAAATGATTCTTTCTTTTCCTTCTAATCTAACAATCGAATTATTACCTGTTTTGATTACTCCTAACAGCATATCTGTGACGATAGCCTCTCTCTGTCTAGGATCTGGGAACGTCTGGACATTGTGGGACATTCTCTGAGCGAGTTTCTTCATTATAGTTGTAGTCGTCATCATGTCACCTCCATATAACGTCTTCGATGACGTTACCTGATCACGAGAAATACAATTTGTATTTGAGAAATGTTAGATTAAATTAAGTAGCCGGAAGATGGTTCAATAGGCTTTTAGTTCACTTTTCTAGTGTTTTCGAAGTTCTTTCGTAATTCCTTCATAATCTTTCGCGGTAGTTGCAATTGAAATCGAACTTTATTAGAATTGCGTATAGTTCAAATATCCTGTTATTTATTTGTGATTCTATTTATATGGAAAATGAAAATGGATGGTGCTGATAAGAGTTAGACTTTAGCAGATACATAGTTTTATTCAGTCGCCTTATAAGAATGTACCGAGTGATTTTAATTCCCCATACCTGTGCCAGGTCATTGCTGATGCTGAGCAACGATTCTCCTTCTCTGACCCTCGCTTCTAAGCTGTTCAGCCAAACCGAGCGACACTCACTGAGATCTGGAGTGGCACCTAACCACTCAGGTGCTATATCCGCTGCAAAACAATATTTTATTATTAAAAAAAAAATGGGCAAGCGCGAGTCGGACTCGTGCACCGAGGTTCCGCACAAACCTGTAGGTATAACCAAAAGGTAGTTACTTAAAAATTATTAAAAATATTTTTACTATACGATCTAACTAAAAATTTATGATCTTCGCAATTTTTCTCAATTGCTATAAGACGTTTCTTCGTACCAAATTCTAAGTTTACAGGAAGTACCCTTTAAGTTTTGATTTTCTTGCGAGTTTCGAAAATTTCCAGCATAAAAAGCTGTATCTTTTTATTGCGTTGACTTAGAAGTTTGATTTATTCCCAGCTCCAAGAGACAATAGACCTGAGTATTTGATATCAATTTCAGCTTGATACCTCCACGCGTTCCTGAGAAAAAGGGTCTTCACAGACGGACGAAGGGATCCTATGAGGGTTCCGTTTTTCCATTCGAGGTACGGAATCCCAAAAAATTACAAAAAGACAACCTCACATATCAGGAAGGATTCATTTTAGCTGCCAATAATGTACCAATGTACCAATTTGATGGTATTATATAACTTGCTTGCCCTTATCTCAATCTTTTGTTTGGAGTGGATTGAATATGTATTCTTCTTCTACTTCTCGATCAGACTTTATTTATATTTTCATGTTATCATTTTCAGATAGTCTATCCATATTTCCTTTTGGTCTTCTTCTCACCTTTCTAAATTAATAACCGTTTACGTTACATGCCAATCATAACTTCTTAATTACTCTAAATACTAATAATATCGTAATATAACTTATGGACAAATCACTCACAGTAAGTAAAGTCTTGATTTGATGCATGTTGGCTGGAAGCTTGCGCGTCTGGAAGACTGGAGCCTCTATAGTCAATCATGTGCTCTGGAGAATCGCCATCACGACCTATTCATCATAAATACATTTATTTATTTCGTACAGCCTTGGAATTAATAAACGTAAATGTTAAGTGATATTCACATCTCTTTATTTAATTTTTAATGACATAGTAACAATTCATTAGCGCACAAAAACAAATCATAACTTAAAAACTAAATTTTTTCTTCTTTAAAATTTTTATTTGAAACAAAGGATGTTATTTGATCTCTTGATTTAAAATAATCGCAACATTTGATCCTTCGAGCCGGATTTAAATGAGGGTAATTTAGATTTTTAACCAAAAATAATGTTGATTGATTTGAAAAGAAATTGAAAGAAAGTATTGGCCTGTAATTTACCTTTGAGTAGTGCCTCAGAGCCGAGACGCCTGATAAGTTGTAATTGTCTATCGTTAGGTTCTAAGCCTAAGTCGTGGTAGTTCTCTCCAGATTGCAAGTTGGATCCTCTCCTCCTTGGAGTACGACGATCCTCTTCAGTAAAGTGGTGGGGGGTTAGAGTACACCTAAAAAAATTGTAAGCTTGATATAATATTCTGATATGATCTGGAAGCAAAAGCAATTAGCTACTTGTTTTGGGAAAATTATTGTAAAAATTTCATAATATCATATTAAACCACTATCAGATTTACTTTTCTTCAAAAAGTATTTTATTCGTTAATTTAAATTCTCCACGAAAATAATAAGTCTTTATTATTATACAAAAAGAAATACTACATAGTTATTATTTACTAGTGGCCGCCAGCGACTTCGTCCGTATTTTCCATTATTTCTTCGCTCCTTATAGTTGCAGCGTGATGTTATATAGCCTAAAGCCTTCCTCGATAAATGGTCTATTCAACACAAAAATAATTTTTCAATTCGAACCAGTAGTTCCTGAGATTAGCGCGTTCAAACAAACTATTCAGCTTTATAATATTAGTATATTAGCTTCAGTTGTCCTTCTGTATATACTTACTTCCACCTGGCCAGTCCAGTGGCGCCCCCTGGGCAGGGCTGGAGCGCATATGTGCCAGCCAAAGTCCAGTTCCAGTCCAGCCCTCGAGCCGTCACTGGGGGGCAGTACGAACGTCTACCTAACTGCGGTGTTGGATTAGTCGCTGAAACAAACAATATTATTATCACATTGTTCATAATGATTCATTGTTACTCAGGTAGGTATCTCATGTATAGATTTTTTGTAAGTAAACAAGTTTTATATTGATTTGACTTTTCTGTGGGCTTATTGTCCAATTTTAAAACTTAGCGCAATCACTTTTAAAAGTGTGGCGATCATGATAGCGATAAAATAACGATGCCTTTTATTCAGTATCTTAAAAAAAAAAGTCACAAACGCAATGCCTTTTAAATGTCAAATAGTTGCAGTATGAAGTTCGTGAATATATTTCAAAAGAAAAATTGGAAGGCATTTCGATATATTTAAAAATCAGAGAAGTAGTCCCTGGTGTCGTCATATTACTTTTCATTAATTCAGGAATACAGATGACTTATAAAGGAAGGATCTATACATACAGTATGTTTTATCGAAGTCATCTTCACTGTCAGTCTCGGGTTTGATGTCTTTCGGTGGTTCTGGCACGCGTGGAGACGAATCTGCATTTTCATCCTTTACCGGCCACTGCATAGTTTCTTCAGTGGGTGCTGTCACAGAAAATAAAAAAATCGTACGCATTAACATTAAAATATAATTTGTCCTTAAACGAAATTCGGAGCATTTCGCATCGTTTTTATAATTTTGGTAAAATCATATCATATGTGCATCAGAGCCAGTGTTATCAAAAAATCTTGGTCAATGACCATACGCTGGATTCTACAAGCACTTGAAAGAATAAGTTGGATCTATACTCCAAGCATGTAGATAGCAAATAATTTAATGAGTTTGGCAGCAAATTTGTTAGTTAGGAAAATTTGAAAACATACCTGCAATATTATAGACTCATCAATTACAATGAAAAGAGAGAAGACGAATAACACTTACCATTGTCTTCCTCTTTATTTGGTTTGTCGTTTCTTGACCCTGTATCTGGTTCGATAGCCTTGGGAACTTCATCCTTGGTTTCCGATGCAATTTCTTTAGGAGTTTGTGACTCGGATGACGAATCCGGTTGTCTGGTGGTAGTCTTCTGAATAATGGAAGAGTTGAATTGTTAAATCATACAAGGTTCATTTGCTAAGCATACATCAGTGTAGGGGAAAAATATTTGTCGTTACAAAGTTTTATTGATGCTATCAATTTGAATATAAGTTCCGAACTTAGAAGCAACATGAATAACATATACACGCTTATTAGACATACCTTAGTACCGATGTCGCCCAGTTTAACCTCTGGTGGTAAAGTGATGTGCGGTCTGAAAGTAGGCGGAGTGATCACCGTAGGCTTTTTCCGCTCCCCTTGCTGGACTTGCACTGGATTCTTTGGTGCCGGAGGAGCTGTAGAACGCCAGACTGTTGGCTGCGAGGTGATCAGCCATGGAGGAGATGGCCTATTGGTTGTGCTTGTTGTGGATGCTATAAAATTAAGACAGATTTAATATCATCTCGATACTTAAGTTGACATAAGTTTTGATTTGGAGATACGAGCGTATTTTAAGCTATAAGTTTTCAATCAATCAGCAATAAGCTTGCCTTGAATATATTACTTTTTAGTAATAAGGCCTTCCCATTGTGCATTTTAAGTGATTGTATTCTTTACTTGGAAACTTATTTTATGGTTTCATTTAAAAGAACACCAAATCAATTATGCTTTGATAGATATATTACTATTTTGTTCTTTACTTAGTATTGTTTTGATATTTTAGAGGTCGTTAATAAACAATTATCTAATTTAAGCTCACACAACATCAACTTTGATCTGGATAATTTCTAATTGAATATTAGAATATCTAATCTTTTATATAAGTCCCTGATATTACATGTTTTCTTACCTGGTACACACTGGTAATGTGCTTCTAGATATTTCAACGTGTTCGGACACGGATCGCTGAAGACGTTTGTGCTCGCTAATATACTACAGTTTTGGTGCATGCTGCATCTGTAAAAGAAAATTGAAATGTTTATTACTACCTATGGCACCTACTTACGTGGCTAAAAGAAAATAATAAGGTTTTCTTCATTACTACAGACACTTATAGTACATGTGAATGTAAATAAAATTAATAAATATTAAACAACATCATACAACATTGCTCTGATTCCAAGATGAGTAGCTAAAGCCACCGTTTTATGGAGTATCTTATACAACGAAGGTACCACAACACCCGGACCCGAGACAATTTAGAAAAGTTATTTTTTTACATTGATCCGATCGGGCATCGAACTTGGGATCTCAGAGATGGCAACACCTTGACGGGGGTGAACCATTCGGCTACGGAGGTCTACTAGTAAACTACTTTCGTAATAGCGAAATCAATACTACCTCATAGGCTCATATTAGCTACATCGACATTAAAGCTATGCACTATAATGTTACGAAGACGATTATGTAAATAAAGGTAAAAATTGATTATCATCATCATCATCATCATCATAACCATCATCATCATAATCATCATCATCAGTCCCATTCTTATGGATGGTTAAGTGCATTAACAAGCGGATTGGAGGCAATTAATGACTGCAAATGCAGCCACGACCAACAGCTTAACGTGCCTTCCGAAACATGGAATAGCTCGATAATACTTTTTGGTCACTCATCCCGCGCGTGACCGACTTTGGCAAAAGTTGCAGAACAACAATGATCACGGGGCACTACGCCACCGAGCTACTCTATTCATATTATACAAAACTTTAAAATTTTTCAACTTGATTTTAAATTTAAATGCATTTATAGTTCAGAAACAACTGCGCGTATTTGATTTTTCTTAAAGTCGATAATTGGCATTGATTTAAAGAAGTTGCGGCCTAATTCTTTTTACGATATAGATTACCTATAGTAAAATTAATTTGCAAAAATTCAAGTAATACCGTCTTTGTTGCCACGTTCTAAAGTATTTATGGGGGTTTCCCACATGACAAATATGGACTTGCAGTTGTAGTTATCGTTTCCTTAGATTTCGTGATGAGTGAGTAACTGACCTTTCGCTTTTAAAATATATCGAACTACTATTTAATTCTGGTGAATCATTTAAAAGTTACTTGATCATAAATCATAGTTATAATACTGTTTTAATGAAAAGAACCTTCTTCGCCATTTCTCTGTCCATCTAACCTTATGATGAAAAACCTAATGACGTCATGCGTAATGTCTGACGATCAATCTAGGCGCCATTTTCCCGAATTAGCTTTAGGGGTGACAACAGATATGTATTACGGGAATACTTTTAGTAGTAGTTATTGCTGATCTGAATTATTTGTTTTATAATAGGATTTTAAATATACAAGTTTTTTTTTATTTTTATTTTAAATCATATAAAGCTTTCTATCATTTTAGGGAAGATATTTATTTTTAATGCGAAGTTTAACATATTAATAAACATTAGAGATATAATAGCGATCAAAAAAAAATGTTTTACTTTATTACCAGGATATTTGAATTAAAAATTATTAAGAGCCAATTTGGCTTAAGTTTAGATGGTTTCTAAGATCTTAAAGATTAAAGTGTAACTTTAAGAAAAGTTTTATTATACAAACGTGAGAAGTGTGGAAATGTTGGCATTAAAATCGTTTCGCAAAGTGAAACCCCTGCGGAGGGTTTCCGTGCACTTTATTGGCAATCTCGCACGGCTAACACGATAAACTTCAGTGCGGCGAATATTTAATTTTCGGCAATTTTCGGCCGTTTTCGACAATCGCCTGGACGCTTGTCGGCACCAATGACGGCCATGTTTAGTCGACGCCGGCCCTAATTTGGACTGTCATCGACTGAAGTGTTACGATTTAATATTTTTTGGTGGTTTTTTTTTAACTAAGCTAATTTTTATTTATTGGCTTGGCTGCAATAATAATACTGATATTAGTTTCAAGAAGGCACATCGCAAATAGTGTCAAATGAAAATGTTGCTGGGTCCTGTAAATAAACGATAATTTACTAATTGGAATCGGCCTGGTTTGTTGGTTCGAATCCAACCTGTACATAGTGCAGCACGTCGGTTGACCATAATTGTCTTTGCGAGGACGATTTTGAACTTTGCTGTCTATGCTATTGTTTAATCTGACGCGTTGTTGAGTGTACCCGATATAGTTGTTTTTCAGGTAATTTTCAAAGGTAAATATATTTTATATTTCATCTCCAAAACTTTGTAAAAAGTACCGTAAATATTGTTCAGCCGGATGAACGATATGTTGATTCAGGATATGGATTATATGTGTACCGAATTTCACCATAATCTATAGTCTTTTTTGTCAATATGTCAATATACTAAAACTTGAGAGTTGTTTTTATTTAAATATAAAAAAAATATATGTATTTAATTTTCACGGTTCATAAGATACAGTCTGATGACTCACAGACAGACACCGAAATTTTAGTACGAATCCCTAAAAAGGCCCTCCAATGGCGCAAAAGACTTTATCTAAGATGATAAGTTATTATAATTATTGTACAAAGGAAATTTAATGACCAGTTGTCATTTTTGACAGTTGACATGATCTCCATTTAAGCTGTACGGATTATAACTCGTACCGATTAACACGACACATGAGTGCTTATTCTATTTTTCCTCGAAAGAAAATTCGAAATAATTCGAATCGTTCTTTTAATTTTGTTAATATCTTCACCGTGAAGATCACATATCTATGCATCAGAGTTAGTATCGGTGTACCTCCGTTGCATTATAAATTATCGAAAAATGTGTCTCTTTGGAGTCGTATTAATTTTTAGGAGTAATAGAATATACTTTGTGTCATGTTAAGTCGTAAAAGTAGTAGTTGCTATTTTACCTGCTATGTAAAACGCGTAAACTCTTCGTGGACATGCAGTTCACGCTCCAGTCAATGTTGCCATGGTCGTTACATATCGTGATCGAGAACCTTCCATAGTTCGCCCTTATTAGGTGGATCACCGATCCTTCTGAACAGCCTATCTTTAGGGTCTTGCCTTCGCACGCGTACGCCGTCTCATATCTTGGTTCTGAAATAAAAGAAAATCAACATAAGATTATAAAATTCTAATAAAGTACTGTCGCCTCATAAGGTTAACTGTTTTTAACCATTGGAATGCCAAAAACCAACCAGGGTACGTATGACTTACGGTCCTACATCGACTGATTAATAAGAACATAATAATGTTATTTAAACCTGGGTTAAGTTGGGTTTTTAGATTATAGGAAATACCTATTGCTTTTTAGAACTCCGTCAACACGTCGCGGTCATAATCGGTAGGTGAATGTACTTAAATATCATTTATAAAAGACTGATTCATTACACCAATGAAAAGTAGTAGTAATGGTAATATACATAGTATTACAAGGAGTTATAATTTTTTTTACCGATGTTTTAGACCTTTCGAATTCTTTGCAAAGGCAGTCACTGGTGACAAGTTGGACATCTTTCATTTGTTATTAGGATCACTCTGCAGCTAATGTACTTCTACATAAAATTTAGTTTTGCGTCACGATCATGATATTAGTTAATACAAGAATTTTATTATCATCAAAGTACTCGATAAAATGGCGCCAAATAGGATAAGTGTTGAGTTAACTTTCATAAAAATGGGATTTTGAATTTCGAATGCTATATTTTTTAATGTTTTTTTTTCACATTTATCTGAATTCATACGAGTACGAACTATTTAATTAATGGTTCTACGTATCTAATTAATGGAAAACTTCTTGAGAATGGCTTGAATTACACAATAATGAATGATTATCTTTCACGCTTCAGGGTATATAGGTATTTACAATAAACGTGTGTTTAGCATTCAGATGAATTGAAACCAAGAGTATAATCGAAAACAGCTATCGATTCCTTCACGCAAATAAACCTATAAACAAGAAATCTAAACATTAAATTTACAAGTGCATGAAATGCATAAATTATTTGTCTTTCAGAACGTCAGTCTGTTTGATAAATCTTAAAAGTAACTTCTTAACTAATAAAGCCTAATTATTATGATGATTGAAAACAAACAATCAAAATTCTAACAAGAAAAGCAGGTAATCTTTCGAACATAGAAAACTGTCGACTCAACCTGTCGTAATCAATTTGAGTGATAGACAAAATGTAACGGGCGGGACAGAGAGTAGCTTGGACCAAACGGGAGGTTTCGACCCCTTCACAATACCATGCACAAAATGGGGACCCCAAGTTCGATTCCCACGGGTGATTTAGGCAATTTTTACAAGAATAGTGTGTGATGACAGTGAGGATTCTTCGATTGGGATACGTTTATGTGGATACACAGCCTTTATTGGACGTAGAATAAATCCAAAAGTTTAATGTTTCACGAATACCACAATGAAATTTCTAGTATTTTGTGTATCTATTAAAAATGTTGAGGTGGCGTTCGGTCTACGATGCGTAAGTTAAGCAACTTTTGCAAGGGCCAGTCATAAGATGGGTGACAAAAAATGTATTATCTCGAGCTCCTCAGTGCAGGAAGATGCGTAAAGTCGTAGTTCCGGCTGTATCTGTAGTAATTAATACCAATGCGCACTGGTCCACGTGGTGGGTCATGGCCCCTTTCGAGTTGATTGGATTCCATCCATAAGGTAGGTCAGCGTTTCAGAATTTGGAGACATTAACGGGTGATGATAATTAAAAATATAAGTGTAATAAGGATAAGGACTACTTTTTGTTTGTTTGTCAGGTATTAAGGTATTGAAGAATATTAAACCCGTATTTTTTTTAATCATCACATAACGGCGATACATTGAATTGAAATATGGTGTGACGACACACCTTTGTACATTTTCTACACGCGTGACGTAGAGTGCGGCTCGACTTTAATTATTTATTATTAATGCCTATTATCTAAGCCATTTCTTGTGAAATGGATTATATATCAGTAATAATCAAGAAATATTAGGTGTGTATATATCGCACGTTGAGAACGATAGTGACACAATGCAAAAAATGCGATTTTGAGTAATGAGCGTTTAAAGTTCAAGAAATTGTAATCAGCCTCTAAACAACGTATCGTCACTACGCCACCTAGCAGTTTCTATGCAAGCTACGTTTACATGGATCTTTGCATTTTAAAGTTTATACTTAACAAAGAAAAATGTTGCCCTAAGTAAAAAATACGTCGTTTTTGGTTAGTGTCATTGTCATTCTCAACGTGCGATATAAGCACTTAATATTTCTTTTTTTCCCAGCATCATTCCAATTTTGCTCATGTAATTTAATAATATAAAAAAGTTGTGAACTATATAACATGTACGTTCCATTAGATAAATAATCCTTTCACTATACTAATAATATAAAGAGGAAAGATTTGTTTGTTTATTTGCATCGAATAGGCTTATCCAAGCTTAGATACTGGAAACGACTTTAAAAAAAAACCACCAACGGGAAGCTACATCATAGTGGACGATATTACGGAGGTGAAGTTGCGGGAAAGCATCTAGTAGGCAATAACATAAAACAAAACAAGCCCAGCCTTAACGTGAAAGATAAATCTCTTCGAGTATGTGAACAAGTTTAGTCTAGAAGAGTGATTATCTCACCCTTTATAACACATTACCGTGTGCTTATTAGCAGAAAACTGCGTAATGCTTTGTTAACACGCAATGTATAAGGTAAGACAGATGTTATTTATCGCAAATATATTTTCGAATATTCTGAATTATTGTATAAGAAACCTTTCGGGTCAATAATATTTAGAATTTTGCACAACGCAAAGGATCTTAACTATCTTAGCAGTATATGGATGTTGTCTATTTTTTTTATATGGATGACACCACACAGTGTATACCACCACTGCCAGTGTCGTAACAAGCTGTTCATGTGCCCCGTCTAAGCATTTATAAATGGGCAAAGGTCAGTCATAGGATAGGTGACCGAATTTTTTTTTCGGCTTCGAAAAGTAATGTAACCCGTTGGTCGTGGCTGCATCCGCACTGAAACCGTGTTGAGATTGCTTTACCTCTATAATGAAGGCCTGTGCTCCAGTAAGGACATTGGTAGGCTGAAGATTTTAACGATGACATGAGTGTGTTTTGAATCCGATGTCAATTAAATGAAATAGCGCTTTTGTTCTAGCCATTTCCGCGCTCCTCCAGGGAGTGATGTGTCTATGTTAGTATATGTTAGTAGCAATATTTATAGCTATAGTCAATAATCATCAATAACTTTAAGGACGAAATCAAAAGAAGTCTTGTGTATGACGTCTAATTATTCCGTGAAATTGTTTACAATTACCAAAGATAACAAAAGAATATCAATTTATAATTTAAAACTCGGGACCGGATGAAATAACAGTGTGTTGTTCCTCGCCTAATAATAAATCTGCGCTATGATTGTTGGGGCCGACAGATCGTTTAGTATTCCGCAAGTCACGCCGGGGATCGAACCTTGTTCTGAGCCAGATAAGTGGGGATGAAAATAATATGCAGAAGAATGAGGGGTCGTGGTTCGTCGTCAGCCCTTGTTGAGGATCACAAAAATTAACACGTAGGTTTAGCTATCAGATCTGAAGTTTTAGAATCGAGTTATTGTGGTAGTTAATACTTACGAAGCTCATATACATAGTAGATATTAAAATATGAAAACGTGAAAAAAAAGTGTTAAAAAGTGAAAAAACTTCTGGAAAATCATGAAACAAGAAAAAAAAATATGTATAGAATATTTTTTACAATTTTATTTAACATACCGCCACAGTAAGTCATTTAGCGTGGATAATATCTTTCAAGCTAAAGACCCACCTTCTTTATTTGTATGAAATAGAATTCATCTGATACTGAAAGGTGGAGCTGTAAGATAGGTAACCTTTGTACTCCATCAAGTATGGTCATTTGGATAATCTTTACAAGCATATTGACTGGTAGAGAATACCTAAAGGCATTAAGTGCGCCATTTGTACTGTGTGCAAAAAAGTTTTAATAAATAATAATAAAACAACGTAACTCCGTGGTCAACCAATTTGATTTTACTAGATAAGAACTAGTCCAAGATAAGTAATATAAAAAAAAATACTTTTACTTTTTTATTTTTGTACTGTTGTTGTGATAATGTTTACAGTGTAAGTATACATTTTAAATCAGCTATAACTTTTAATTTGGTTTTAATTAAAAAAAAAAATTTATAGTTTCAATAGGAACCGAACCCTAAGCTGTTTGTAAAGGCGTGTGAGGTTAAGTTCGAAAGTGTTCAATAACCAAATATTTTAATAAAGAATAACTATTTTAATTTCATATAACAACCATGTTATAACTATTAATAATAAAAAGAGTTTAAGCACCATCGAACGTGTCTCTACAGATTAAAATTAATCCTCTTGTGTTCGCAATAAATTTTAAACTTTCAATATTGGTTGACGACCGGTGAAGTTGTCACAGAGCCGATCTGAATTAAAAATACTCTTCACTACGTGCAGGACACATTCATGTTTACATTTGAGTGTGTGATTTCGGAGGTTAAACAACTTTAAAAAAGGCCAGCCATGCGATAGGTGACTAAAAATTTATTATTTTGCGCTCTAGTTCTTTGGGAAGCATGTTAGGCCCTTTGCATCGGTCGTTAAGACATGTCAATATCCATTAGAAAATCCTGTGTCTCAACAGTGAAGATAGGTAAAAGCGGTGCTATCTCCGTCTGTGGTCTCGGGTTTACATAACAGTTGACTCCATAGTGTTAGCAAAACGAATGAAGATATTCTAGATGCCCAAAGACATCACACAGAAGTCTTTGTAGACACCACATATTTTGAAATGAACTTAATATGTTTGTACATTTATAAGAAGAACAATCCAAATTACCATAGCAAAATTTAATCTGTTTTATTAATAGTGTGAAAAGGGAACCAAAATATCATTCAAATAAACTTATTGAAAGAAATTATGATTCGTTCAAAAACGTTTTTTCTACACCAGGATAGCTTTTGAATGTCAAGAAAAGACAGCGAAAGGATTTTACTAGCTTTTAAAACAAATAATGTGATTACTATATAAATATCTATTGCAAAAATTAAAA